CAATCCAAGTCGATTGAGACCCCCTCCCCTCCTCTCTTCATTAAGTCCGAAAGCCGAACAATTATTAGAAAACGATCGATCCTTGTCAGTGAATTGTGATCATGGCCACAGATACTCTAAATTATCCTGAGGTGGTCAGACCGAACGCTATCACATTCCCATCGCAATTCAGATTGTCAGCCACTATTGTATGACTGGTTGGTCCGTATAATTGAGTGCCAATGTGTCTCTGCCGCTTTCCGTAAGCTTAGCTTAGAGGGGATGGGGGTGGATAAATGGAGCAAATGCGATAAACAGCAGAAGCAGAAGCCGCAGAAAGAAGCATCTTAGATGTCATCGGACCTAAAGACCCGTCCACTGCTTCAATGGTCCTTTGGGAGAAATCCCCTGGAAACAGAGATCCCTTGCATGTTCGAGTCACACGAGGGAAAGAGAAGAGGTTGCTCCTGGAATCCTCTCACATCAAGATCTATCTGGGTTGCGACATCTGATGTCAACTGGTATGGTCATGCCCCAATGCAACCCTTGATTCGAAAGATGTTCCAATTGCCCATGGGGCGTCATTTTGTGAAACGTTACACGGGGCTTATCTCCACTAGCATAATTGATTTAAGCTAGATTCTAAAGGAAATCAATCGAAAAGAAAAAGTCCGACCAAGGTTTTGCCAAATTGCCATCTTCTAGTTTTCTTTTCCTCATTGGAGTTGTCCGATATGCAGGCGATTGGGTCAGTTCTGTTTTTGGCCTTTTACCTTCTGATTCTAGGTAGTCTTGCTTGCAGCAGGGCTTCTTGCCGTCTAATACAAAACTGTACGGAGTACAGTATAATGGGATTGAAGGTGGTGGTGGTGGTGGGCGCAACCACCAGGCATGCAGGCCTATGTTTCTTCAGCATACGTAGGGCAACTGCAGATCCAAGTGGAAAGATCTTCCTTCCTGTCATAGTGGTCAAACCAACACCCACCTGTGACTTTTGGTTCGTTGTACTGTACTCGCAGATCAACTACCCGAGATAGATATTGCGGACTGGGATCTGCTGTTGCACCTTCCCTTCTCTTTTGTGGTGAATCCTTCTTTGGGATGCATGATATGATCGATTTGTATGCCATACTCCGTATAGCGTGTTTGGATTAGGTTAAGGTACGGAGCAGCGAGGGGTGACGCTCCGAGAGTCAAAAGTCAAACAAGCTCTAGGGAGAAAGACTAAGTCAAAAAGCTTTCGGTCCTAACTCTTTTTGCCAGCCAGATCATGTACTCAGTAATACTGACCAAGTACGGAGCAATAATTGTAATAAAAGCTTGCTGTCAAATGAAACCACATATTTATAGCTTACTTCAATAACACTCCGAAGCCGTCGCTCTGGGCATCCACCGGTGCAGACCTAGTCTCTCGACTATTGCCTAGGTTAGTGACATACTCCGCATCCGTAGGCTCTGTTTGTTTGTCTCCTGTTCCCTGTCCCTGCTTAGTCCACGTTCCGAAATCTTGTATTGGGTATAATCACGAACATGGTGTCTCTGTGTAATCTCCCCCCTGGAGGGAACGGTTTGATGGACTAAACAATGAAGTATATTGCTGTTTTTACTCCTATCTACAAGCAGGACTTCCTCAGTAGGCATAAGACGACATTCAGATCCCATAAACGATGATCCTTATCCTTGGTCAAACTCAAAGCCCCAAGTGTCAAAGCGTCTGCAGAAGCCAAGCCAACCCATCCCCGCTGGCTACTAGAGATGGATGTTGTTCAACACGAGTTTTCCGACTGGTTCTCCGTTGATTAGCTGCTTATGGATAAACTCAACCAGCTACGTATCTCACTAAAGCGATGGTAAGATAGGCCAAGGCTTAGCCAATCCTTAGTAAATTGGTTAAGTGACCCGGGTTGCCTTGCGCCCAATATCCTTCTGAGTATTCACAGAATATTTGCGTTGCACTGTTGTCACACATGCTCTTGTGTCCATACATCGTACTCGATATCATGACACACACACATACACATATGGGTAGAATGTGGTTTGAGAAAGAAGCTACAGGGATCTGGGTTTAGACAACCGCGTTAGACTACCTATTCTGACTTCTCAGTACATCGAAGTGGCAACCTGATCGACCATTAATCTGAAACTTTCCACCCCCTCCACCTCCCCCGCCCATCAAATTGTCTCTGTCTCTAAGCGAGCAGAGAGTTCCAGGTTCGGATGTGGATAGCTGGGAAAGAGCGGTGCCGAGCCGACAGTCCCGTATCGCGGGTGAGCACAGAAAAGAAAATAGAGAGGAAAGAAGGGAAAGCAAACCCAGAGGTTGAGAAGCGAAATCAATTAGGTAAAATTGGAGATTGGTAATTACCAGCTGGGAGGGAAAAAAATCACCAAATCACACATTCAAAACCGAACCCTCAACGCCAACAGCGCCGGCGTACTGTACAGGTGTCCTCATCAGGTTGCCGAGCAAATCCAGCCGATACGAAGAGGCGATCCACGGGTCTCCGTTCTAGGCAGTTGCCGCCCAAAGTGGTAACAAAAAATCATGGAGTCCCCAGTCCGATCCTAATATGAGACATACAGTTCATACTACGGAGTTCTCGGTATCAGTAAATTTTTGCCTTCCGTCTGCTGTTCAAGTTTGCCAACAACAACGTTGCTCTCCAGATTGAGAAATAATCCCAGGCCAAGGCTTTAGGTCGCGTATTATGAACGGTCCTTGGCTCTCTCTGAGTCTGTTGGGTGTCGACTTTTGTTCCCAGTTTTCCATCTGACGCCGGAGAAAGACCGAGAGAATATGCTTAACACCAGTAAGGTTGGCAACTTGGCATTCTGCCCGGCCCCCTCAACCCCTCCCTTCCTTCGCCCCCTTCTCCCGCGTGGTCAATCCGATGTGACCCTCTCTCTCTTTCTGCCTTTCTCCCCTCTGCAGAGTACAGTACAGTACACGGTGGTAACTGTATATGCCAATGTGCCGGTATGCCAATCTTTCGGCTCATAATATCGACACGACGATGGTCATCCATGGCGGATTCGAATTGAGCCTGTCAGGGTACAGTTAGTGGTGGGGTCTACGGTCAATCAATTGTCCTAGATAGATTACTTTCAGAGATAGACCGTATTACCCGATGCTATGCGCGATCGAACTGTCTAAAGTAAGTCATACCTTTCGCCTTATTAAACTCTATCACGGGTCTACTCCTGAAGCCCAAACAAAACCTAGACCCTGAAATGAAGATACACGGCGATGGAACCTCGTGCCGAACCCGAAGATCGAGCCCTCCCCGCGCTTTTTGCCGAGTTTCTCCTTTAAACCTGCTCGTACTTACGAGTACTTACAGTACTTGACAGCCCATTACGGGAGCTGAACAACTTGAGTTTGCACCTGAAACCGCCTGATCATCGAAAGTGTATGATGAGTAAACAAGAACAAGGCCCGTCGGACCTAGAATTTCTGCCGAGCAAAAATCCACCGTAGACGAGGGGGTGGATCGCGGCCCAGCGAGCCTGATTCGGGGGGGGGAGAAGTGGGCGGGGCTGGGTTTGTTTCCAGCGAGGGCTCCGCCCAGACCGCAGCTTGGAGGGAATAAAGTATCCGTTCGGGGTGGGTATGTTTCCTTAGGCTTTCCTGTTTCCAGTCCCGATGAGCAATTGATGGGACCAGGAATCCTAATTACGGCGTTCCAAAGTTTTCCCGGTCGGTTAGAAGCGCCCCTCTTCTCCCTTTCCCCCTCCTCCGGACCTGATTCCCGGGTTTGGTAGATTGGTAGTGCTGCTGAGAAGTTGAATCTTCTTCCAGTCCTTGACTCATGGACATAACGCTGGGAAGGGAGTAGAAGGACGGAACCAAAGCTATTTAGATGAAAGAGGATGAGAAGAGAGGGGTCCTCTCCACGAACGGTGTTTGCCCTTCATGTGGACAGTGGATACATATCGTGTCTTCATGAAAGGCATCCGCCGCTCCCGAGATTCCCCCCTTTCGATGGATCTCACAGAAACACCTTCCAGAAATCGAATCTTCGACGAAAGGATGGAACCGATATGCGTGCAACGCCTAGACCAGACTTCCGAATGATCCGCTAGCATGTTGCCCCCTCTCTTTCAGGCACCAGCTCGGAGAACAGTGATCATAATGTAACCAGTTGTACTGTACTGTACATGTGGGTGTGCTTTTCGGAATTAGCGGATGAACTTCTAAAATTGTATCGTACTCGTATCAGTCAAGTTAAGTCAAGTTGAGGAAAAGAGGTATGGGGCCGCGACAGATAGTTAGAGCAACTTGGCCCCTTAATGTGGACTGGGTTGGCTGACACTCCTCCATGGCATTGACAAGTATGTGTAAGTACTTGCTTCGTTGAATAAGTTAATAAGGATGTGATAATATAATATTCCGGCGGTGGTAAGGCGGCCACAACCAATCCTTGTCTATCATGTGAACACACGGCAGTATCTCACCGCTGATCCTTCCGCTTCGTGTTCCCTCCTCACGTGCCCCAAACCCCGAAGTATAAACACCCCCTCCTCTGAATTGGGCTTCGCGGCTTCTCCATCAGAATACGTAGCTCGCCCCATATTGTCGTACAATGTCGTGATCAATCGAAATTTCGCACTACCGGACTTATCACAGCTTGTATCGTTTTCTAGTTGAATGGACTGCATAGAGAGAGGCTGCGACAGCCTGGAGAACTTGGAGACATGCGGTGTTGGAAAATAGTGCAGCCACCTCCATTATGATGGCGTTCGCATCGCCCACTGACCTAGTCAACTGCCAATGAAGTCTCGATCAATCTATTCCAGCTTGGCGCTTCTTATTACTCGCGCCACCTGATCAACGGGCAAATCAATGAGTCATGTTCTTTACAGGATTCGAAGTCGCACGGCAATCATTATGAGCCATCGTGACTCTGCAAAAGATGTCTCGTTTTGGCTTCTCGTGGCCAACGAAAAATTTTATACGAAGAATGCACTGAAGGATATAATACGGATGCGTGTATCGCGTCAACCGAAATGCATCTGGTGGCCATGCTTTCTTTGGTAACCTTGCATCCAAGAACCTCAGACCAATCACAATGGCGTGCCACGAAACCACGAGATTGACGTGCGAGAGGCTTTACCCAAGTGCAAAGCTAAGCTCCGAGCGAATCGTGCCACTGTCATTATTGGACGCCACTACCGGGGACTACCTCGCGACTTGCGCGGCCTGGCTCTTCGAACCTCCTGCACGTGAACGCCAATCCGACCTGGTGGACCACCTTCGTCAGTCCCTTATCATCGCCCTGGACGCTTATCCTCACTGTTGCGGGCAGCTGAAAGCAGTTACCACGGTAAACGCTTGTACAGTACCTCATACTAAACGATTTGGTCGCGTGTCTATACATTATGGCACTCCTGATGACCCAGGCGTCGAATTCGTCACTGCACAATCCTCCTTGACTTTGGATCAACTTCATCCTGTCTCTCGGACAGCTGCACAACCCTTGTGGGATTGCAGTGAGACACATCTGAGCGAACTTGTTCCCTCAACGCAACTCGCTAACCCAATTCGCAAATCTGGGGCTCGAGAAGACAGCGCAGCTCCACCCGTGTTGGCCATTCAGCTTACTCGTCTCATTTGCGGAGGGTTCGTCCTAGCAGTGAAATTCGCACATCCACTCGCGGACGCACAAACTTTGGTACACTTTGTCAAGGACTGGGCAAGCATTAGCCGGGCGATACTGCGCAAGAACCCTCTTCCTGTCTTGACCCCAGTCTTCCAACCGGACCAGATAGATGCTCTAGCTGCAGGCGACATTAATGCAGACACGCAGGATGAGACAATCATCCGGCAGACTGAGGACCTACCAATTCATCGCTATGACTGGTGGAACCCAGAACCTGGATCTACCCGCCCATCTGACGTCCCTGAAGCACTTCAGCACGATGTGATCGTCCCGGCGGGCAAATGTATACCCTGGTCCGAATGGGACCGTGAAGCTCGCGTATCCTACTACGTCCTACACCTTACCCGGTCCCAGGTGGACATCATCTACGAGCAAGCGGGAGGGGGTACCGATAGTCGAATTAGTCGACACGATGCCGTCTTAGCTCACATCTGGTCGTGTATCAACCGCGCGCGGCAGATGCACGACGACAACGGCCCCGTGTACTGTGATTTCACCTGTGGATTACGGCCCGTGTTCCATCTCAGTGATGCCTTTTTAGGGTCACCCATACTGATGGTGAATGTGAACATGACGGGGAAAGAGGTGACCGCAACGAGATCCACTGCCAGTGGGCGGGAGACCCTCTCCTTACCACACATCACGCAGCACATCCGCGAGACCATCACACGGATCAACGACCCAGCTAGCCTGGGAGCTTATTTACACCGGCTAGCGTTTGAGAAGTCCCCGCAGCGCATCTGGACAGGGTTCCTGGGTCAACGCCATACGATGGTGACGACGTGGGCACGTGCCGGTCTGTATGAGGTGGATTTCGGGCTGGGATGCGGCGCAGAGGGCAAGGTTCGCTATGCCGAAGGTGTTCTCGCAAACCTGGATGGGCTTGTCTTGATTAAGGAGGCGCCACCCGCTCGGATTCCAGATGTGGAAGATATGTCGCCTTCGAAGTGGACAGAGCATGGTGTGGACATCTCCGTGCATCTTCGGACAGATGACATGGAGCGATTGCTTCGAGATTCATTACTGTTTCCCACGATGCGACGGAACGAGTAACTGGATACTTAAAACAGTGCAATGCTACTACTCAATCCTACATGTCATTAGACCGGTACTCGAATACTGTGGCTAAAGAGGCTAATTGAACCCCATAGAGTATCGACTATGAATGCTACACAGCATTGGGACTGATTGGGACTGGCTAGCCTTGATAAGTGTAGAAGATAAGACTTGCCGCCGACAATTAACTCCACAATATATTGACAAAGCAAGAAGTACTGTACAGTACATGACTGAATCATTTGCTGTCCTCGTATAGCTCCAAGTCCTCGCATCTCCAAGTTAACCTGGACTCATCTGCCAGTCAGACATAAGCACTAGGTGTCCAACACATAACCAACCTCCTTTTTCCCGCCCCCAAGGTCCTACGATTAGCCATCATCATATAGCGCAGTTATAATTAGTGCAGGTTAGCCAAAACTGTCAATCAGCCAAGGCTTTCTTATCATATTACCTGCGCAGTTGCCATAAGCTTGCCCTTCTAGTCTCGACTTACTATCGTACTCGGTAGCACCATCCATACGATATAGTTAGTATATTAGTACTGGTAGTATCCAGGCCAAGCCCCGTGCCTCCCAAGTCATTCCAAAACCCTGTTTGACCAGAAAATGTGCAATCTTTCCATCTCGAGCGTTTTGTTTCGGAACAGATTTACAAGTACCCCAAAATACTCACTACCCAGATAGATACCACCGCAAATACACATCCGGACACATGACACCCATCCCGAATAATAATTATCCCCCCCAAGGTTGCAACCTTCCACCATACTACCAATCGGAAATAGACTTCCTCCTCTTTCCAGTGGCGTGGTAAGTTTTTTTGCATCATGATTCCACACCTCCTCACCTGGGTCCCCGGCTAGAATACGAGAAAAGGAGCAAGAATCAAGAACATCACCATGCCCATGCCCATGCCTTTTAGAGACCGTTCAAGCCCTTGATATGGATATCCCCAAAATGTCTTGAATCTTAAGCCCTCCAAAATTTTGTTTTTCGAAAAACATATTCCAAAATCAAAGGTATCTGGATCGGAGAATCGGAGGCTTACTGTAAGTCTGACATCTATATTCTTCCAAGACCATGTGGCGGTACAGTCTTTATTCTAGGTGGCTGGGCTGGGCGGGAGGGCTTTTCTAGTGGTTGTTTATGTTCATTAGTACTGGGCTAAACGAAGGGGTTCGTAAAAGTAATACAGACGAGGAACGGAAGGAGGAAGGGAGGAGGGGGGGGAGGGGGGGAACTGCTTGAGCCGAGTTCGCCGTGTCTTTCTTTGAGCGAGTCCAGTCAACAAGGTGTTGCCTAGATAGGGATAGACCGTTGTTCTGGCAGAGGCACTTACCTTACTTACTACCTAGTCACTTACCATTTACTGGATCTGGGGGTAGGAGGAAAGCAGAACGCAAAACAAGAACAGGGATGATCGCGTTAAGTTGCCGGGTGGTGGTATTGTATCAGAATCTAACTCTGCTCTTGGTTTAGGCTGACCTGGTAGTTGGTGTGTTTTTGATGAAGTGCTTATTGCTTATGCTTATATTTGTCATGCATCTCATCCCGGGCTGGGGTGGGTATAACAAGACATAGGTAATGTGTGGGGAGATTACACTTTGTTTCCTCCAGGGTCATGGTGATTAAAAATACATGAATATACAATAGGTAGTGTCTTTCCCCGGGAAAAGGGACTAACAATCTGCCCGACCAAAGTAGCGAGGGAACGCTACCACGTCTCGCACACTAGGTACCCCGGCCAAGTAGCTCAAGAACCGGTCAAAGCCCATTCCGAAGCCCCCGTGCGGCGCCGTGCCCCAGCGTCGGAGGTCGGCGTACCATTGGAGATGGCCCAGGTCTTCCCCCGGAAGCAGATGGGGGTAGAGGGCTGGGGCTGGGGCTGGGGATGAGGACAAGTCGTCCGCTGCTGGGGAGTCGCTCTTCCCGTCCTCATTGGCAGCAACGTGCTTGATCAAGCCGTGGTCACGCATGTTCTGGATGATCTCGGGGAGGCGGTGCTCGCGAAGAGACCCTCCTGCGACCTCGCTGACCTCGGGTAGGAGGAGGTCAAAGCACGCGACGGTTTCGCCGCCGTGACGGCGGCTGCTGTCTCCGTCGCTGGACGGTGCCATGTAAAACGGCTTGATGGCCTTCGGGTAATCGGTTACGAAGACCGGCTGACCGTGGTTCATCACTTCTACAATGTACTTCTCGTGTTCGAGCTGGAGCCCACCCGCCCACGTGGGCGGGTACTCGAATGAGGCGTCGTCTGTGGCAACCGCCGCTTGAAGCTTCTCTATCGCCTCAGTGTAGGTCATGCGTCGCCACTTGGGCCCGTCCAACAAGGCGCGCCAGCGTGCGAGGAGGTCAGGCCGGATGCTGCCCTCCTTGCTTTCCTCCACAGGCCCTTTGTACGAGATGAGTTCCTGTGCGACGGGGGTGTCGTAGAGCCGGCGCGTGAGGTCGCGGAGCAGGTATTCGACGAGGTCGGTCAATGAGTCCAAATCGTGCATGTAATTCGCTTCTGCTTCCAGCATGTAGAACTCGCTGAGATGGCGTGGCGTGTCGCTTTTCTCGGCCCGAAAACTGGGCGACAGAGTCCAGACATTACCTAGCTCGGCCGCGTAGGCTTCCAGGTGTAGCTGCGACGAGACAGTAAGGTATTTGGGTGCGCGGAAGAAGTGCTCGCCCTCGGCTGGGGGTGCTGATCCTCCCAATGCCACCTTTGGCATGACGGTGAACGTCTCGCCGGCGCCTTCACAGTCCGACGACGTGATCAAAGGTGGCTGCACCTGTACGAATCCTCCATTCGGAGCATTTCGAAATGTATTTCCAAGCTGGTATAGGACTTCGGATCGGAGCCGGGCGAGAAGTGAGTTGAAGGGGGTGCGCATGCGGAGGTGAGGGATTTGACGAAGGAAGTCGGCGCTTTGGTATTTCTTCTGAATAGGGTAGGTCTGACATATGGCTTGTCAATAGAGCTGCCCTGGATTGATCACTTCCTGCTGCCGGAGAGGATGTCGGCCTACCTCGGCGTCTGTTTCACCTATAATGCGTACTGATGTTGCGTGCAGCTCATGCGTCTGGGACTTGCCTGGAGGACATGCCTTCCACATTCCTGTGAGTTCAAGCGTTGTTCCCTTGGTTAGCCTGTAAAGATAGAATCGAGATTAATTGACATGTCGACTCAATAGGAAAGCAGAGATTAGAGGGAACATACCCAGCGGCCTGCGCTGCACTCACCATAGCCTGCAGAGCCTCGACCGTTGATCCATCGGCGAATTCTATGAAGGAAAAGCGCTTGTGTTTGCGAACATTATTGATGTATCCCTGTAGTTTGATTTCCTGGTCTTCTAGACTGTTGGGTCCAGTGCGGTTTTTGTCGAGGATTTGCGCGCACCGGAGGAGCGGAGGACCGGGGACCGTTGTCGCGGGCCTAGAATTGAGCCTCGCAAAAGATGTGGCGAATGACCGACGCCAGATCCGCATCTTTGAAGGAGGAACAAGAGTAGATAACAATCGCGACTGTAGCTACACTGGCAGAGTAGGTCCTAAGCTAAGCTCCAGGGTGCGCGGTGCGGAGGAAAAAGGCGGCAGCCGCCCGGCATGATGATTCAGCTCCGCCCGCCGTGACCGGACGCTACAAGCTACAGACTATAGATATGCTGTGCAGTACCTACACTTCTACTGCTGGTGTTCGCTTGAACAAGGCACGAGAAAACAAATACCTGAGAGCTAGCTTTAATTCTGAGTAGAGTGCTATCATCAATCTTGATAAAGAAATCCCAAAAAGAAAAACAAATCCTCAGACCAGCCGGAACGCACAATCATAGCGAATCGCAGTCATATCGAATAGCACGAACCAGAAACAATTGCTGCTATACCATAACTCGTCATTTGGAGGATCCCTGTTGCTCATAGGCTTTGCGTTCCTCTTCGATCATATCAATAGCGTCAAGCACATTGGCATCTGCAGCTGCAGCATACACAGCGATGCGCTGCAGACCGCCATCGCTTGCACCACCATAGCCCAAATCAACCAATGTAGCCACACATGCATCAATGCTGGTTTGCCGCATGGTTGGGGTTAGCTGTAGTTGGCAAAGGGTGCCTTCAGGCTCTCTGTCATGTCTGGCACGGTGACTAAAACCTGGCCTTGGGCGGCCAAAGGAGTTGTAAGATGGCCCCGGCTCTACTTGGCTAGAACCTACACCATGACCCTTCCAGGATGGGTGAGGATGCTTCATAGACTTCGAGCGTCGACCATGGCGACGAGGTCCAATTGGACTCTCAAGCTCTTCTGGCACATGGTGACTTAAGGAAGGGATGTCTACCGTCTTAGCAGCATCGCCGCTGGTTTCTGGAAACGTATCCGGAATGTTCGATGATGACGATGAAGATTTTAATCCACCATTCAAACTTTTGGAGCCGTCGTCTGGGTTTTTACCCTGAGCCCGCGCGGTTTGGTGACATTCCATAGCACGGAACTGCGCTTCTAGCTGAGAAATTGGCGGGAAGCGACGCTGCTCGACCTCTGCAGTCAAATCTGACAAAGTTGATGGAATGCTGTTCGACCTTGAAGGCTGCGGAGAACCCTCAGGGAGGAGTGATGGATAAAGGATGTTGAGCTGATCAGCATCCTCATCTGATGGAATTTCCAGACCATTCACGGAGGACACCACATCGCCTCGCTTGCGATTATCGTTGGAACATAGGTCCGCCACCGTCAAGGGCACCGAGCGCTTCGCGAAAGCCTCGTCGGCACTGTGCCCTGCAGGTGACGCCACGGATCCCTGAAGCTCTGATGGCCGTTTTGTATGGGCAGTAGCACTAGCCACTGGATGGCTTAATTCAGGTTGTGACTGAGCTTTCTGTGGTCGTAACCCGAGAATGGGCGAATGATCACTGAACTCCAGGTTGATGGCATGTCCGTCAATATGTTCACCCTGTAGAGCATCCAAAGCTGCCTTTGCTGCATGTACTGTTGGGAACTGCAGGTACCCAAACCCAGCATGTTTCCCAGTTCCAGAATCTTGTGGGAGGTGGACCTCAACCAAAAACCCTTTTGAGGCAAAAACATCGGTAATCATCTTTTCACTGACATCGAAGCCTACATTGCCTATGAACAATGCTGTACCCTCTTCGGAGGGTCGCACACCACGCGCATGACAAGCTGCGGGAGGGGTATCCGTGGGGCCCGTATCATTGTCAGCCGGCACATCCGGGAAGTTGATGGACCCGAATGGGTATCGACCTTGGTGTCTCCCTTGATGTGAGTGTGACCGCGACTGTAAAGGATGATGATTCAGATGAAAGGGAGGAGGTGGTGGTGGAGGAGGAGGAGGAGGTCCAGAGGGGTAGCCACTGCGGAGCTCCGGTAGTGTTGAGAATGGCCATGATGGAGGGACTCCAGGAGGTGGTTGCCAGTGTGGAGGTGGCGGGTGATAAAGAAAAGGAGGAAATGGAGGTGCGCGTGAATGGTGATGATGATGAGGAGCCGGAGGTGGATAAGGGTGAGGGCGGCGTCGGGAATGATGCATGGACTGCATATGAGGTTGGAAATCGGGTAAGCGGATGGATTGAGTCTGATGCGGCTCTGAGATGGGGCCACTAGAGTCGGAGTTGTTAGACATCCTAGGCTGAGCCGCACCTTCCTGCAACCCGGCATCTTTCGCCTTGTCTTTCTCTTTCGTAGTTGATTTCTCTGTCTCGAGGCCCGTAGTTAAGTCTGTCGTTTCAAGACTGGTCTCCGTGCTACTTGCTTGCGTGACTTCGGGATTCCTGTCTGACACCAGATCATCGGAGCTCCGGTGCTCTGCGGATGAAGCGGAAGGTTGCTCTTGTGGCCTGGTCAAATTGCAGCCAAGCTCTGCCTCGAATGCCTCGAACAATGTGTGGCCAACGTTGCCAAGTTCGGACGCCATGGAGCGCAGGCTTTCCACTGTACTCGTGGCCGTGGGAAGCCCGCCCTCTAATATGTGGGTCGCCTGTGCAGTCACTGCTGGAGAGTTGTTTAATGAATTGGTCACTTGTCTGAGCTGAGCTTCTACGGCTGCAAGAGCTCCCTGCACAGAGACCCCAACATTTTCAGGTATGGCCCTCTGGGCGTTTTGCAATTGTCTCTCAATCTCAGGCAATCTTGACATTACCCCAGAGCTGAGCAACTCGGCCCCGCCAATCAAGCTATGCATTGCGTGAGTAAATGCTTCGGTTGCATTCTGAGGCCTGGTCGATCTTGACTCTGAGTATGACTGCGAGGAGGAAGAGGATTCTGCGGAGGGTGTAGGACCTGTTGCAGGCTGAGAAGTACTGAGAAACTTGGCCATTTCAGCCTCGAATGCATCCAGGAGCGATTCAGACTCCTCGACATCAGCTGCGTGAGCATCTCTCTGTGGAGAATCTGAGCCCTCTGCTGTCTGGTGTTGGTGAGTGGTTGATGCCGAGGGTTCTGCAGGTGTGGACTCGGTTGACGCATCCTTTTTCTCCTTTGTCTCCTGGGTGTCCTGCTTGCATTCGAATTTCTTCCACAGCTCCGTGACTGAATTTGACCGTCGGATGTCGAAAATATGCATAGGTTCGAGGGCCGTTTGGGGGGCTGTTTTAGATTCGAGCTCTGCATCAACGGGTTCCTCAAGTCGTTGTGAAAGCTCAAGAGAAGAACCGACCTACCATCATACAACATGTCAGTACTCAAATGTAACGGTCAAGGATCATGAGCTCGTACCGTGATGAGCTCCCCATCATCTTCGTCAAGATACGTCAAGCGGGCTCGCGGATGGCTGGAAGATAAGTTATCATACTGAGACGCCGACAGCTGCACGATGCCCCGGCGTCTCGTTGGAGACAGGGGGCGGTCTAGATCTGCGGCCTCATTTGGAGATGAGGATGATGAGGACTGGTGGAGATCTCTGATTTGGAAAGGCTTCAACATCTCTGGAGCTAGCGGGCGGTCGCGGGAGAGAGAAACTCCGTCCCAAAGCCGCTAAAAGAACAGATTTCAGTCAAAGACGATAAACGGTTGTAGATTGAAGGTCGCTAAGGAGCGATACCGATATCCGAGGAGTAGTGGACCGAACGGGATAGGCAGCGAGCGGGTAGATGCAAAATGCCGATGTCGAGAAATGACAGAGTAACTATTAGTAGATAAAGAGATAGAGAGAGACCTTGGAAAGGTGATAAGGAGAGAAAGTCGTGGAGGCAAAAGAAGCACAAGGCACAGAAAGCCTGTAGTCGTCACTATTGCTGCTGCCTATGAGCGGGTGATTAGTAGTAGCAGTGGTGGTGGTTGTAGTAAGTCAAGTTAACGTTAACGTTCGTCGTCGTATGTAATCTACTAGGCAGCTCGGATTTGCCTCTAGTTCAAACAAACGAGGTTCCCTGAAAGAGAGCAATCATCCGTCGTCATACGAGAAAGCCGGTACAGTGTGAACTGAATACGAGCGATTAAACAAGGCAAGCAGGATCCAGGCAACGAAATATTGGAGACAAAAGGGAGGAGGGTTATAGTGGTTGGTTGAAAGTGGGATGTGAAGAAGGTCGATCAGACAGTCTCCACTGAGGGAAGAGGAGGGGAACACTTCAAGGTTGGCCGGGCCCTCTCCAGGCTTCCTCAGTTCTGGCACAGTCAAACAGTCAAACCTAGGTAGTAAAATCAGTTCAAGCACTCAACCAACCATTGGAGAAGCTGCTCCATTCGTTTTTCCAGTTTCAAAAGCATCCCCCGCCTTTCAGGTCTGCTGATTGGCCTCCAGGAGGCCCGTCAAATGACCCGTTTATCATTGCGGCTGCGAATTAGTACATTCTACGTTAACTACGGAGTACGGAGTACCTATCTTCTATATGCCATCACCACTACAAAAATATGTATAGAGTCCGAGACATGTGCAGACGAATATTCTGAACAAAAGGCAAAACAAAGCGAATTGTCAAGACAAAGAAATCCGCAACTACGTGTGTTTGGTTCGATAAGAATTGAATCCTATTCAGGCTAATCAATCCATAGCGATCCCGATCTGGGAGTACTTTCGACACCTCAGTACACTCCAGCACCCATTCCAATGGCCAACATACGGAAATACATTCACATCACACCCTCACCGGCATAGAAGGGGTCATCCTAATAATTTCACCCAACATCTCGAGCCCTCCGCCCCTCCTCAATCGCAATTCTGAAGCCTAGCGCTCCTCCTCGTGCTGGATTTGCCCGTCTTCAATGGCCGCCAGCGATCCCGCGACGCGTGCTGAGCCGGCCTCCACGACCGAACGTAACGTGAAGCACGTCGTACTCGGTGATCTCCTTTTCCAGACCTGGTACCAGTCCATATACCCGGAGGATCTAGTGAGTAAGGATACAGACAGGTTGTACGTCTGTCGCTGGTGCTTCCGTTACTCGTGCGACGAGCCCGCCTACGCGAAACACACGCGCCTCTGCCCACACCGGAAATCACCGCCCGGGGTCAAGGTCTACGAACAAGGAGGCTACTCGGTATGGGAGTTGGACGGCGAGCATCACAAGCTCTACGCGCAGAACCTCTCCCTGTTCGCGAAACTGTTCCTTGATCACAAGTCGGTCTTCTTCGATGTCGTGTCCTTCTTCTACTACCTCCTCGTTTTCACCGACCCCGCCGACCCCGATGCCTACCATGTGCTGGGGTTCTTCTCGAAGGAAAAACTCTCCTGGGATGCCAACAATCTCGCCTGCATCCTGGTCTTCCCCCCTTACCAGCACAAGCAGCTGGGGAAATTGTTGATGGGGGTCAGCTATAAGATCAGCTCCTGGGAGCGCGACAGTGGGTTGATCGGCGGGCCGGAGCGACCATTGAGCGAGATGGGTCGCAAGAGTTACGCGCGCTTCTGGGAGGAGCGTGTAGCCAGACACTTGCTCTTACATGGTTGGAAGGCCGAGGACGCAGAGGACTCTGCTGTGCCACAGAAGTCGAAGTCCCCTAAGGGCTCGAAAAAGAGACTCGCCCATGAGCTCATGACAGTGCAGGACATTGGTCTGGCAACGGGCATGTTGACCGAGGACGTCATCACAGCTCTCAGGGGCCTGGGAGTAGTGCAGCCGGCCACGCCGGCCAAGAAGCGGAAGTCAAAGGATTCATCTGGAGCGACTAGCGCTGGAGGTGACTCAATTGTAACAGTACGAAAGACAACCGTTCTGGAATGGGCCAAGTCTCATCATATGGCCTTGTGGGACCCGGTTAAAGATGAGGGGTTTCATGGTAAATGGGCTCCGACCGATTCGGACGAAGAGAGCAATGGGGACAGTAATGAAAGCGGCGATGGATAGTCTCTCTTGCAGCTATGCTTCTTTCTGTATGCCCGTCTGTGGAACAGCGCCCTTTGTATTACTACTATCTACATACGCTACTGACCGTATGAAAAAGCCATGTATGATTGGATCCCGATTCGATAACTCCGCCGAGAAAGACTTGCGTGTATATGAGTCCCAGGCCTTGCGACACAATGTGAAGGCCTTGAGAACCACGCCGCGGCCGAGGACAAATCAGAAAACCTCCATCAGCACATATCGAAACAAATTATGTTAGTTTAAGCCAGTACCCCGGTACTAGTTTCTGATGGAGTTCGAGCTCTGTGGATTATATTCAGTTCAATTAAGATGTGCCAAAATGCATCAGTATGGCAAATTTTGAGCATATTTTCGACGTAGAGTATTTTTCTAACCTGCAGACCGATGAAGAAATTCACAGAAGTGCTTTACATAATATGCCTTGTCTGTAGGAGCCACATTACTCCTCCATACCACCAGGTCCTGACTGTCTGCTCATTTGACGGGCCTTGAGCAACTCATCGCAAAGTAGCAGGTTCGAGGCAATGCCCGTGCTGGAGGCAATGCAGTTGCGCAACACACGGAAAGAGTCAAAAACACCTTCTTGCACAGGATCCATCGGCTCGCCGGTGGTCAGGTCCAGACCAGCGTTGTTACCGTTGGCGAGCTCATCTTGAAGCATCGCCAAAGAGTCCTGGATATCGTGGCCCGAGTTGGCTGCAAGAGTCTTGGGAATGATCAAGAGTGCATCGGCGAAAGCCTGAACACCCCATTTGGCCTTACCCTTAACAGTCTTCTTAAAGGCGTCGGACGACAGATGACCGGCGCAGGCCACTTGGAACGCACCGGCACCGGGAACAACACAACCATCGACGATGGTGTTGTAAACGGAGCGTAGACCGTCACGAACAGCGTCCTTCACTTGTGCAATAGTGTGCTGGTTGGGGCCCTTGATGAGGATAGTCACAGACTTAGGATCCTTGACTTCCTCGACGAAAGTGTACTTCTCCTCACCAAGCTGGTGCTCATAGACTAGACCAGCCCAGCCGAGAACATCGGGGGTCATGTCCTCCACGCTGTTCTGTGCAATACCACCGCAAATAAGCTGGAGACGTTCCATGTTCCTGCGCTTAGCTCTCCGGAGAGCCAAGATTCCGTTCTTGACAAGGACATCCAAACTCAGGGGGTCGATTCCCTTCTGGTTGATGACAACGAAGCTCTTCTTAGGATCGTTGCCGCAAACCAGCTTCTTGAGCTCTACGATTTTCTGTAGCTTGGCATCCACAAACTTGCGCTCACTCTCCACCAACTTGTCTCTTTGCTCAGCAGATGAGTAGTAGAAACCGGAGTTGATTTCAGATTTCTCGTACTCCAAGCTGACGTTCAGTGTCAAGATGAAAGCATTCTCCACGCGCTTAGGCATATCGGGATGTCTGGCGCCGTGATCAAGAGCGAGACCCCGGATGAGCTTGGTATCGGAAGAGGTGCGGTGTTGCATCGTCATAATCTCAACCATGTGCAAATCGGGCTTCTCAGGAGCTCTGTGAATAGCGAGGACGGCATCGACAATATCGGGGGTGAGCTTCTCAGCGAGGGCGCTGTTCAGCTTTGTGCTGAGGGACGTCCGGGCGACGGACAGAAGGAGTTCGCGATCGATGGCTCGCTCGATCTTAAACTGGTCGAGGAACTATATGCCATCATACTTCAGTATACCAAAGGTTTATAAAATTTTCCGAGATAGCATACCTTGAGAGTCTCGTTCTTTGCAATCTCATAACCATCCGTGATGACTCTAGGGTGTAGACCCTCGGAGATGTAGCGATCTGCCTGCTTCAAGAGCTCTCCAACCGACAGGACGACAGACGTCGTTCCGTCGCCAGTAATATCATCCTGAGCCGTTGCAGCACGAGCGATCATAACCTTTGAGGTGATTAGAAAGGAGTTTTCGATATATGACTGGAAAGATAGCTCACAGCCGTGGGGTTTTGAATTTGCTATTGCAGTTAGTCTCTAGTCGATGGAGAAAGGCGCTGACCAAGATAGACTTACCATCTCACGGAGAAGAACGTTGCCATCTTTAGTTAATTTGATCTGGTTGAAACCTTGTTGTTAGACCTTCACTCGATCGGTTGGGAGGAAATAAATCATACTCCGCCTGCACCGTCCACCAACCTATGAACTATTAGCTTAATAAGAAGTTGGAAAGTTATCAGGGACACCAAACATACATCTTCAACGTTCCAGAGGGACCAAGATTAGACTTCAAGACATCCTGGAGACCCTCACCAGCGCTAATGTTCACTTTCAAAGCCTCCGCTCTCCGCTGTGAGCCGTTAGTTTCTGCGAGGCCACTTGAGGGGCTATTGGAAGGAGGGGGAGGGGAGTGGATTTCATACCCTCGACTCGGCCTTGGGGTTGAGTAATTGCGTCGCAGACATTTCTGCAAAAAGATTGAATGACCAGCAGCAAGGACCTAACGAAAGGACTTGAGATTAAACAAGCTTGCTGTTGCTATAGGCCCGATAGAGGATGCCCGCACTGCCAGAAACCTTAGCGGTGGTGTTTGCCGTGAATGCGGTGAGCCTTTGGTTTTGGCAAAAAGCCCACATTCTGTGTTCGCACTAGCGCCGCTGCGAAAAAAAAGAGCTCCGACGGCTCGACTCTGCAAATCTACCCTCCTAGGCTTTTCTTCAACTCCACGTCGCTCCACGCCCGGTCTACGGTCGCATATTCCTGGGAAATTGAGAAGCGGGCTCAGTCGCTCGCACGTGAAGGACCTTTTCTTACATCTTTTTGGGCCTTGATCTCAATTTCGCTATGGCCGACTATCTTCTCTGGGAGGGCCCTATCGGCTACTCTCTCTTCAAGGTCGCCCACCAGGGTGACAGTGTCGGCAACCGTTTGAAGGAGGTTCAGGAAGGCGTTGATGACCTTGCTAAGTTCGGAAAGATGGTTGAGCTGGCCAGTTTCCTGCCTTTTGAGTACGCCAAACCAGCCTTGAGGGGATTTTTCGCCTTTTTTTCCCGCTAGAATACTGACCAAGCCCAGGAACAACAAGCAGGCCCTCAGTGAAATCAACGATATCTCGGAAGGTGTCGCCTCGGACACTCTCGTCTCTTTCCTCGAATTGAATCTTCCCAAGCCCAACAAGAAGAAGAAGGTCGTTCTGGGTCTGTTGGACAAGGCTCTTGCTGGCAGCATCAAGTCTGCCTTTGATTTCGTCGACTGCGAAACCGGCGAGACCAGCGAGGTTGTTCAGGATATGCTTCGTGGAATCAGACTGCACGCCACCAAGCTGCTCAAGCAACTCCGTGAGGGCGATATCGACACTGCTCAGCTTGGTCTCGGTCACGCCTACTCCCGTGCCAAGGTTAAGTTCTCCGTTCAGCGCGACGACAACCACATCATCCAGGCCATTGCTATTCTCGACCAACTCGACAAGGCCATCAACACTTTCTCGATGAGAGTGCGCGAGTGGTACTCTTGGCACTTCCCTGAACTTATCAAGATTGTCTCGGACAACCAGCGCTACGCTCAGGTTGCCTTGTTCGTCAAGGATAAGAAGGATCTGACTGACGACAAGCTGCACGATCTTGCTGCTCTCGTCGAGGATGATGAGGGTGTTGCTCAGAGCGTTATCGATGCTGCTAAGCACAGTATGGGTCAGGAGATCTCTGAGACTGATATGGAGAACGTGATCTCTTTCGCTCAGCGTGTTGTCAGCCTGTCGAAGTACCGCAAGTCTCTCCACGCCTACTTGGTTTCTAAGATGAGCGTTGTTGCTCCTAACCTTGCTGCTCTGATTGGCGAGATCGTTGGTGCTCGCCTCATCTCTCACGCCGGAAGCTTGACCAACCTCTCCAAGTACCCCGCCTCTACTGTTCAGATTCTCGGTGCTGAGAAGGCTCTCTTCAGAGCCTTGAAGACCAAGGGTAACACCCCTAAGTACGGTCTTCTCTACCACTCGTCCTTCATTGGCCGGGCCGGTCCCAAGAACAAGGGTCGCATCTCGCGCTTCCTTGCCAACAAGTGCTCCATCGCCTCCAGAATTGACAACTTCTCCGAGGAGCCCTCCACCAAGTTTGGAGAGGCTCTGAAGGCCCAGGTTGAGGAGCGCCTGGAGTTCTACGCTACTGGCGCCGCACCCACCAAGAACGAAGTTGCCATGGTACGTATATAGACATTGCTACCTCCATCAAGCCCTAAGCATATACTGACATAACATGCAGAAAAACGCCATGGATGCTCTCCTTGCCGATATGGATATCGACGCTGAGCAGAGCGACGATGAGATGAAGGATGCTGAGTCCGACAAGGAAGACAAGAAGGCCAAGAAGGAGAAGAAGGACAAGAAGGACAAGAAGGAGAAGAAGGAGAAGAAGGAGAAGGGTGAGAAGGAGGACAAGAAGAAGAAGCGCAAGTCAGACGTCGGCGAGGGCGAGTCGGAGAAGAAGAAGCGGAAGCACGACAGCGATGCTGAGCCGTCCAAAAAGAAGAAGAAGGTCTAGAAGCACCACCAAGTCTTGGGACAGGAGGGCGTCATTATTGTCGAGGCGTTGTCGGGTTGATTTATTCTTGCCATCTATGTTCTGTTTTCTCCTTCACGACGTGACGGGCTGGGTATTTGTAAATTATTCGATTGAGGCCTGTGTCGTTCTAAAATTTCCTTGTAGTTCTGCAAATCTAAATCGGGATTTTCTATACTTTCCTCGCTCCTTCACGGCACACAAATCGAGTGCCTTGTTGTTTGAACAGGCATCCATGTTTGATTGATTGACTGCTAGACCAGCTGCACGTTGGCGTTTGCTCTGTCAGACATTGCTTATTCATTGTCTGTCGGAGGGACCGCCTGGTATATTCCAGGCCAACCAAGCCATGCCGAACCCCCTCACTTCACTTCACCTCCAAGGATAATCCAACCCTGTTGTACTCTAGCCCCCTCCCCCTTTCTTCCTATCATGACAACAAATCTTCCGCAGCTTCTTCGCCATGATGGCTTCTTCAACCGTCTCTGATATTGATTCATCAAAACGCTGAGCAACGTCTTGCCTGAACCTACAAGTTGCTGGGTACTTCTTCCAACCCAAACTACTGGCGCTCGGGCGCTGTGATGCCCCCACATCCGCTTGCAGATTTCGCCCCGCGATGATGTCTTCGAGTTTGACGACGATGCCCTTCAACTCCCCTAAGCGCAAGAGGGCATCGTCAGAGGATACCGAACAGTACAGTCCATCGTCACCCACATCTACTGTCTCGATCCTCAGCCTTCAGGAAGCCAGACTCCGAGAAGCAGAAGACTTAGGAAGGTATAGTCCTCGAGCGGTAGTGGCCGGTCGCCTAGGAGAACTGGCCATCCGTGGAGACAGTCTACCGATTCCCCCAATTCCATATGGGTTAGATCAGAGCACTGTCACGCATTCGGTGCCGTCGGGATGCTGGCCTGTTCTATACGACTCTATCTTTGGGCCTCGCGAAATGCCCGAAACTAGTTCTCACGCTGAAGATCAGCCTAATCTAGACGAGTCGATGGAAAACGCATGCCATCTTCACTCTGATAATCTCAATACTGGCATCTCGGCATCGCCTAGAAAAAGACAGTCAACCCCTAGTCCGCGCAAGAAGAACCCATCGGCTACATCCAAGATGCGCAGCGCGAGAAGCTCACCACCCCTCACCGGTGATGCGCTTGAGAATCCGCTTACGTGGCATGACTCGGAGATTACTGGACACAACCCTTCAGACCCGAGTGATGACGGCTACGGGATAAATGGCATCGGTTTCAAGCCTACTGCGGCCATCGCATGGGCCAGGTCGCAAAAGAGGCAGAAACAAGTCGCAGAATGGAAAACCCGGGAAGCAAGAGAGGCACGAGAAAAGCGAAGAGAGCGACGCGATGGTGCCGATCTGGATAAGATTCGAAGCATTCAAAGTGGTGCCATACAGAAGAGAGTCAAATTCAGCATGTGATGATATAGGCAACCAAGCCCACATAGGCAATTGAGTGCGATTCTCAAGCATTCTAGCAGTTTTTTGGAGGCTACTGCTCCACCTTTACCTAACAATCCTGCACGGAAAGATGGCCGATTTCGAGGTCGCTGCTTGATGCGTTGGCATTGAACTAGCCGAAGCGAACAAGAGGACATGAATGGAGCTCTTGAATAGAACAATATGTATGTACCTGACATGCATACCACATGACATATAATAATATACAATGATTTCCTTAAAGCATACTCCAAGACTCCACGCAAGGTACAATTGACTCTACCAGAACTTGTAATTGGAAGGGTTGGTCCAACTCTTCCGTTGCCTCTCTTCTTCCGCCAGGCGCGCGGCTTCCTTTTCTTTATGCTCCTTCTCACGCTGCTTCTTGAGTTTGAGCTCCTTCATCAGCTCCACAGCCTGTTTCATGCCGTCCAATTCCTGTACTCGACGTCGCTGGCAGAATTCATGTGTTGCAAGGGCGGTAATGGCAAATGCGCCCACGGCCCAGTTACAGGCAGTCCAAATCTTGGGCAAACCTGATATGGGAAAGAATGAATTAGCCAGTGCTCAGAGTATGATTAATTAGGGCGAGCCGGTGGAAACGACTTACCTCCAATGACACCCCTCACCCCACCTACACCGAACCCGGCGCCGATTCCGATAAGCAACGAATCCCGAGCACAGGGTGCTTTGTAAAAAGACGTAGCATTCTCCAATGACATTGACTTCATAGCTTCGGTGACCGTGATGTCGGCGTGCTTCTTTCCGGACTTGACCCCAGCAGAAGGAAGCATGTTGACAGGCTCTTCGGGATTTCCAAATGCGTCCCAAAGTTTTCCGACTTGCGACTGAGGGATCTCATGTTTCAGCTTCTTTTGAGATGTGAAATCCGATGCAGTATTTTGAGATTCCGGCTCCCTTTGCTCGGGGGCAATGGTTATGGAGCCCCGCGTATCGTCAGCCATGATGTGATTCTGTTTGAACTCAATCGCAGCAGCAGCAATCACCTCGTACGGTATTGCGGGCGGAACTTCTTCGCAGAGAAACAATAAGGCCGCGGACATTTGGACGATTCCGCGATCCGAGGACCTGCCCGGCGGTACGACAAAAGCGGATAGTTTCCCCGTATCAGGACGATCGACCAATGGCACGCGTAAAGTAGAAACGCGAACGCGTTTGAATGGCGCAGGTCGAATTTCAATTTACTCTGGTGGGCTCCGCAGCATACAGTAGATCGGGTCGATTCAGGTGCAATCGAGATACTCAACTTTACAGGCAGGCTTAAATATTCTCATACTAACGAAAATCACACTAGCAAAGATTGCGGAATTATGTGCCACCTTGTTCCTTGTTGAAACATAAACCTTTATTTTTCTTTTCCATGTTCTATCGACATCATCTCCGAGTCTTGCAGTGATCCTCAGGTCCGGCCGGTGGGCACATCGTCGCAATGCCTTCAAGAAAACCTAGCAAATTCGGCAACAAGTTTAGATCTGGTACAGCTTCGTTTAACCCGAGACGAACGAAGACCATCGAGTTCGCATCCCTTAGATCGACAGAAGCTACGTCTCAAGATGAGAAATTCGAGGCCATCCGGCTGGCGAACAGCATTGACGAGTCCTTGGGCTTTCCGCGCTTCGAAGCCGGTGAGAAGCGAGTGGGATGGCTCATCAACATGCACAGCACATCGATCCAGGATCCGAATGTCCCCGGTGGACGCGCTGGTGTTGATTACTACTTCCTCGAGGATGGTGGCACCAGCTTCAAAGCGACAGTCGAATACGACCCCTATTTCTTAATTGCCGTGAAGAAAGGTCACGAAACGGAGGTCGAGGAGTGGTGTCGCAGAATGTTCGAGGGGCTCGTGAAGAAGGTGATTCGTGTGGAGAAGGAGGACCTTTCGTTGCCGAATCATCTCCTTGGGCACCGCCGGAACTATCTTCAACTGAGCTTCGCCAATGTCAGCCACTTGCTGGAAGTACGAAGGACCATCTTGCCTCTGGCGGAGAAGAACAAGAAGAATGCAACAGCGATGGATGCTTATGTGGAGATGTCAAGGTATAGTTTGGAACCCAGGGAGTCTATGGTCATTTAGACTAACTGAGTTATTGAAGCGGAAATGCTGGCTTCGACCTCTTCGATGATGAACTAATTAACGAGTCACGATCTAATGCCACCATTAACGCGAGCGATTTTATTGTTGATATTAGGGAATATGATGTCCCATACCATGTCCGAGTTTCTATCGATAAAGGTAGGTCGCTTCTGCTCCTTCAAGGTCTTCCGGCTAATTTTTCGTAGACATTCGTATAGGAAAGTGGTACACGGTCGAGTCGAAACACGGAGTTATCTCACTGAGCTGTATAGAAGAGCGACTTACTCGTGCCGATCCTGTCATTCTCGCGTTCGATATCGAAACAACCAAATTACCTCTCAAGTTCCCGGATTCCGTGATTGATCAGATCATGATGATATCTTATATGATTGATGGCCAAGGGTTCCTTATCACAAATCGTGAAATTGTGTCTGAGGACATCAACGACTTCGAATACACGCCAAAAGCCGAATACAACGGGCCATTCATAATCTTCAACGAGCCAGACGAACGGAGTGTCATCGAAAGGTTTTTTGAGCATATCAAAGAGGCGAAGCCGACGGTCATTGCCACTTACAACGGTGACTTCTTCGACTGGCCCTTCGTCGAAGCACGAGCTAGCGTGTTGGGCATCGATATGTACAAAGAGATTGGCTTCCGAAAGAACAGCGAGGATATCTACCAGGCCGACCACTGTGTGCACATGGACTGCTTCGCTTGGGTCAATCGTGACAGTTATCTTCCTCAAGGAAGTCGTGGCTTGAAAGCTGTCACCGTCGCGAAGCTTGGATACGATCCTGACGAGCTAGATCCAGAATTGATGACTCCGTACGCCAGTGAGCGCCCGCAGACTTTGGCGGAGTACTCGGTGTCCGATGCCGTCGCAACATACTACTTGTATATGAAATATGTCCACCCTTTCATCTTCTCCCTTTGCACAATTCTGCCTTTGAATCCAGACGACACTCTGAGGAAGGGAACTGGAACGCTTTGCGAAATGCTTCTGATGGTGCAAGCATACCAGGGCAATATCGTCCTACCCAACAAGCATAAAGATCCCTCAGAAGCTTTCTATGAAGGCCATCTGCTCGAGTCGGAGACTTATGTTGGAGGGCACGTCGAAAGTATTGAGGCTGGTGTTTTCCGAAGCGACATACCAGTTACCTTCAAGGTAGACCCGGCTGCTGTGGATGAACTTCTCCGTGATCTCGATGCGGCTCTGAAATTTAGCATCGAGGTCGAAGAGAAGAAATCAATGGATGATGTCACCAATTACGACGAGGTCAAGAAACAGATTTCTGATAAGTTGATGGCCCTCAAAGAGAAGCCGCATAGGGATGAGGTTCCTTTCATTTACCACTTGGATGTGGCTTCCATGTATCCGAACATCATGATCACAAACCGGCTGCAACCAGACTCCATGATTGAAGAGTCCAACTGTGCCGCTTGTGATTTCAACCGGCCCGGCAAGACCTGCGACAGACGAATGCCATGGGCTTGGAGAGGTGAATTTCTTCCTGCCAAACGCGACGAGTACAACATGATTCGCCATGCAGTTTCGAACGAGAAGTTCCCCGGAAGATATAAAAATAGCCCAATGAGGATGTTTGGTGACTTGAGTATTGAAGAGCAAGCCGGTATCGTCAAAAAGAGACTGCAGGATTACAGTAAGAAGATCTATCACAAGATTCACGATAGCAAGACGATAGTCAGAGAGGCTATCATTTGTCAGCGGGAGAATCCGTTCTATGTCGACACTGTTCGCAGTTTCCGTGATCGAAGATATGACTTCAAGGGGAAGCAGAAGGTTTGGAAAGGCAAGACTGAGGCCCTGAAATCATCTGGTGCATCGGCTGCAGAAATCGATGAGGCGAAGAAGATGATTATCTTGTACGACTCCCTGCAGCTCGCCCACAAAGTCATTCTAAACAGTTTCTACGGTTATGTGATGAGAAAGGGTTCTCGATGGTATTCCATGGAAATGGCTGGCGTGACATGTTTGACCGGAGCTCGCATTATTCAGATGGCACGAGAGTTGGTTGAACGTATCGGTCGCCCTCTTGAGCTCGATACTGACGGTATCTGGTGTATGCTTCCTGGTTCGTTTCCCGAGAACTTCACCTTCACTTTAAAAAACGGCAAAAAGCTTGGTATCTCCTATCCCTGTGTCATGCTCAACCACCTTGTGCACGGAAGCTACACCAACCACCAATATCAGACTCTTGTCGACCCAGCTTCATTCAGATATGAAACCCACAGCGACAACTCTATCTTCTTTGAGGTTGACGGGCCGTACAGAGCGATGATTCTGCCCACTTCCAAGGAGGAAGATAAGAACTTGAAGAAACGTTATGCTGTTTTCAATCATGACGGGTCTCTGGCGGAACTGAAGGGTTTCGAGGTCAAGCGTCGAGGAGAGCTGAAGCTCATCAAGATTTTCCAGACCCAGATTTTCCGCTTCTTTTTAGAAGGGTCTACGCTTACCGAGACTTACGCTGCAGTAGCAAAAGTGGCTGATCGGTGGTTAGACGTGCTGTACGAGCATGGTGCGACTCTGGCTGATGAGGAACTGATTGAGCTCATTTCTGAGAACAGAAGCATGACCAAGACGCTCGAGGAATATGGGAACCAGAAGTCGACATCTATTACAACCGCTCGGCGCCTTGCAGAATTCTTGGGAGAACAAATGGTCAAAGATAAGGGCTTGAACTGCAAGTATATCATTTCTTCGAGGCCAAGGAACACTCCTGTAACTGAGCGAGCCATTCCTGTGGCCATTTTCTCAGCCGAGGAAAGTGTCAAACGCTTCTTCTTACGAAAGTGGCTGAAAGATGACCCTGGTGATATGGATCCTCGAACTGTCATTGACTGGGATTACTATCTCGAGCGCCTGGGCTCTGTGGTGCAGAAGCTCATCACTATCCCAGCTGCCCTACAAAAGATTCGAAACCCTGTGCCCAGAGTGGCACATCCGGACTGGCTGCAGAGGCGGATCAATCAGAAGGATGACAAATTCAAGCAAACGAAAATGACGGATATGTTCACCCGGTCAGAGAAGACCCCATTGACAGACATCTCCACAAACATCCTTGACCATCGCGTCCAACATGCTGGTGACCTGGATGAGGTGATTGGCAACTCCACACAGAAGTCGAAATCGTCACCTGAAAGCAAGGTTTCTCAAAAAAGAAAGCACCCAGAAGGTCTTCCCAAGACCTCCCTCGATCCGTTTGCTACTTTACCAGCCAAGATGCCATCGATCACAGATGATTACGTTGGATTCCTGAAGTATCAGAAGCAGAAATGGAAAATCCAAAAACAGGCTCGGATCCGTCGTCGTCAGCTGTTCGGAGAGAGGGTCAATGTTGCTACCGATTCCTTGAGCAATCTTTTCCGCAACCAGGCGGAGCTATTGTATATCAATACATGGCAGGTCTTACAGCTTGCTGAAACATCACGGCCTGGCATCGTGCGAGCATTTGTCCTGATCGATCGCAAAGTCCACGCACTCACTGTTAAGGTTCCCCGAAAAATATACGTCAACCTGAAACAAGATTCTCTTCCGGATGTGGATGTCCCTGACTGTGAAGTTGAGAAAGTCAACCATACACTACCAAATGGACATCCGTCAGTTCATTTGTTCAAGTTGACATTATCGGAGGAGACATACATTCGCGAAGCCAACAAGATCGATATCCTTCTGCAACACCCCAGTGTCGAAGGTGTTTATGAAAGGAGCATTCCTCTCACCGTTCGTGCCGTCCTCAAACTCGGCAGTATTTGCACATTTGATGAGGAACAGCGAGGCGTTCTCGGAGAAGGCTTGGACAAGGGATTTGACCTCTCAACTCTCTGTCGTACGAATACCGATCATCCTTATCTGCTAGACGCTCCCATGGCCTACCACTATCTTTATCATGTTGCCTCTGGTGACAGGCACATATTTGCTATTTTCTCCACGACAAAGAACGAGGCTCACATCGTGATTCTTAATCGTACCCGGGACGTCCAAGGCCTTCCAAACGTCGATAAGATTTACGCGGAACTTCGTGCGCGCAGACTGCAGAACTTATCTGCGGACGACACACAAACTGCTTTCGAGTATCAGGAGAAGCTTCATTTCAAGACCACGCAGGTGACCACAAGAAGGAAAGCTCATTTGGAGGTGGGAGATCTGATCAAGAAACTGAGATCCGAAGAGACTCAGCCTGCCATCATGGTCATTCAGTCTCATCAAAGAAGCCGTCTGTGTCACGACGTGCCCATATTGAAGGATTACCCTATTTTACCTGTGAAGCCCGAGGTTTCAGACATGGAACTTCCGCCCTTAGGTTGGCAGACTTTTGTTGCCCGGCGCTTGGTTACACATTATCTTTATCTCTCTGCTTGGGTGCAGCATATGACCTTGCTCGCCAGGTACGGTGATGTTCCTCTCTGCAATCTGGAGAATGATGATCCTCGCTTCATGATCGATATCTCCTATGCCAGGCGTCTTCAACAGAATAACGTTGTGCTTTGGTGGTCCTCAAACCCCAGGCCTGACCATGCCGGCTATGAGAAAGACGACATAACAGGCCCTCTGGAAAAAGTTCCAATGCCGTCCGTAAATATGCCGAACGCATATACAACTGTGTGTATCGAGCTTGAAGTGCGCAACCTCGCCATCAACACGATTCTGACCTCATCCATCATCAACGAAATGGAGGGAGCAGATACACTGCTGGCATCATCTGGCACATCAGCTGACGCAAATGGAGGGGTGCTTTACTCAGAGAAGGCATTCACTTCAGCCGGAGCCGTTGTTCTGCGGGAAATGGTGAAGAACTGGTGGACTGAGGCTTGTGATGGAAACAGTATGGCCGATATCATGGTGCAGCATCTGATTCGATGGGTGGAAAGTCCTGCTTCCTGTCTATATGATCAATCATTGCACCATTATGTGCGCATGTTGTCAAGGAAATCGTTCCAGAGACTGATGGCCGAATTTCGACGGGTGGGTGCAAACATCATCTTCGCAAGCTCCACTCGCCTTCTACTCCACACCACCAAGACGGAAGTCGGCAACGCATATGCATTCAGCCAGTACGTCCTAAAGTCCATCCGGGCTAATCCGTCCTTCCACTTCATCGACCTCGAGATCAAGGAATACTGGGACTATTTACTCTGGTACGATGAATACAATTATGGTGGCAAAGGATGTCAGGAAGTGGCCGAGTCCGACGAGCAGCCATTGGAGACGGTCATGCATTGGCAGCTTAGTCGCTTCCTACCCACACCCATGCAAACTATCTTCCATGACTGGGTGGTTGAATATATCGAATTGATGCACGGTCTGAAACGCCCTGATAACGACTCATCGACTCCTCGAATGACGCAGATACCCATCGGGCGCCCCAGCGATGAAGAAAGTGAAGAGATCTCGGCTATTCTCGCCGAGAAGTTTTCTAAACCGTTGAAGAAACAGATCACAGGTCTAATTCGCCGACAGCGGGATGAATTGCTACACCCGGAGCTGGCATCCGACTATGCTTTCCCTGTCCTTCCTGGTGTGCTTTCGAACCCCAATGACGAGAAACGCAACCCAGTTCTGGAATTGGTCAAGCTGCTGATGCAGGTACTCAGTCTTTCCAAGACAACCACAATGGAGACACGACTGCTGCGTCGGGAGCTACTTGCGCTGTTCGAGATTCGTGAATTCAGCAAAGAGGGTCGATTCGAGAACCCCGGAGCAAGCTTGAAACTCCCTGAGCTCACCTGCAACGCCTGTTGTCTGATTAGAGACCTGGACCTGTGCCGAGATGAAGATGTGCTTCCTGATCCTGGCACGGAGTCGAATAAATCTGCGGTGAAACCTTGGCGCTGTCCCTTTTGTCAAAGCGAGTATGACCGGCTCGCCCAGGAGGAGACCCTCATTGGTCAGGTGCAAGGATTTATTGTTGGCTGGCAAACTCAGGACCTCAAATGCTCCAAGTGTGGGGGATTGAAGATCAGTGATTTCATGGAGCATTGTTCGTGCAGCGGGGTGTGGGTGGAAACGATGAACCGCGCAGAGATTGAGAAGAAGCTACGACTCCTCGATAGTGTTGCGAAGTTCCACAACCTCAAGCTGCTGGAGACTGTCGTGGGGGAAGTTCTAGAACAGATGTAGTATGGTTCAGGTTGGGTCTTTGTGCTAAGCGTTAGGTTTGTTGGCGACAATACCCTGTTTGGTAAATTCTGATAGGATGGGACAATAGCTTTGGATACCTTGGCGTTCAAGGGGCGGTTAGCATAGCCTTGCGCATGAGCTTTTGTGTATATAGTTATAGATCAAGTGCATACATAGTACTGGATTGTGGCTAAATGTTCTCTGGTTGTTTTCCATGCGATTTGTACTGTAGTGTAGGGTTGCACGTGCGCCATCCAAACAACTAACTGAACTCGACTCAAAAGGATAAGGTAAGGTGTAAGGTAATCCGCAGTCGAATGCTCGATCGACCTCACAACCTCGATCACATCCGACTTCCGACAGCTGCTTCTTTTCTTCTTTAACATTTAGACTACCTACCTAGACACACGGATACACGGATTCATAATTACCCCTTTTTCAGTCAATTCATACAATCGTACTCGAGTACTCGAGTACCTGACCCGTCAGTGGCCAAGTTTCCACCGCGGACCCCGCAGTCGGATGCACTCCCCACCACCCAAGCCGATCGCGATAGGACGAAGCAGTCCCTCCCTCTTCTCTCCCCCTTTTCCCAAACGGATAGCAACATCTCCCTGCTCGGACGAGAGCTCGGAAGTCTGTTCCCACTGTACGCCGATCTTCCCATATCCAGCCGTTTCTTCAGGGTCGCCGTTGTGTTGTTGCTGCTGCTGTTCTCCGTTCACTTTAAGCTGACTGCGGGGCCGCGTTTCACAGGCACTTTACTTATCAGCTCACTTTCTCCTCCTCGCTGTCTCCGCTGAGCGGCTGTTGTCGTTCCTTGCCTCTATTGCCCTCTTCTATCGACTCTATACATCCATCAGATTTCTACATTGGTCTGGATCCATGGCATCACCAGCGCAAACAACCCAGCGCCCCAAGGTCCAACCTTGTCGGTACAAGACTGGCAAGACGCTAGGCGCCGGTTCCTATTCTGTGGTTAAGGAATGCGTGCATATCGATACGGGCCGTTACTATGCGGCGAAGGTGATCAATAAACGCCTGATGGCTGGGCGCGAGCACATGGTAATTCTTCTTGAACAAGCACCGCCAGATGGGGATGCACAAATACGATCGCACAGAGGCTAATAGTATGGGCGATCTATGCACCTTGACAGGTCCGGAATGAGATCGCAGTGCTAAAGAGAGTATCGATGGGTCACCAAAACATACTGACCCTGGTTGACTATTTTGAGACCATGAACAATCGTGTGTTATCCCCTAGCACTGGGTTCGAAAAGCGCAGGGCTTGGACGCTAATCTATTCTTCAGTTTACCTGGTTACTGACCTTGCGCTCGGTGGAGAGCTCTTCGACCGTATCTGTCGAAAAGGAAGCTACTACGAATCCGACGCAGCGGATCTCATCCGTGCGATCTTGTCTGCGGTTGCGTATTTACATGACCATGGCATCGTTCATCGCGATCTCAAGCCAGAAAACCTCCTGTTCCGGACTCCCGAGGACAACGCAGATCTGTTAATTGCAGACTTTGGCCTGTCCCGGATCATGGACGAGGAGCAGTTCCACGTTCTCACCACGACATGCGGTACGCCTGGGTATATGGCACCCGAGATCTTCAAGAAAAGCGGCCATGGAAAACCAGTGTACGTCTTTTACAGTCGGGGGAAAGATTCTCATCCCGGGCACCCTGCACTTATCCATCTTCATACCAAAAGTATCTGACCAGTTGCCTTATGCAGAGATATCTGGGCCATTGGTGTCATCACCTACTTCTTACTCTGCGGCTATACCCCCTTCGACCGCGACTCCAACCTGGAAGAGATGCAGGCCATCCTTGCAGCCGACTATTCCTTCACGCCTCTTGAGTACTGGCGCGGCGTCTCGCCCGAGGCGCGCGACTTCATTAAACGCTGCCTGACCATCGACCCCGCCGCGCGAATGACGGCTCACGCCGCCCTGCAACATGCCTGGGTCAACCCGCCCTACGACACAGACGTCGACAAGTTCGGCTCGGGCGAGGATCTCCTGCCGACTTTGAAAAAGAACTTCAACGCACGACGCACGCTTCACAAGGCCATCGACACGGTGCGGGCCATCAACAAGCTCCGCGAGGGAGGAGGGCTCATGATGGACGGCGTTATGAGCGTCGATCCCAAGCCCGAGCGTGTCGTCGGGAACGACGTCTACGAGGAACAGCAGTATCATCCCCATCACCAGGGCGACCGTGCCGATCACGATGGGGAGATGGAAATCGACGGACGGGGCAATGCCCGTGGTCAGACGGATGAGCAGATTCGGGCCCAAGAACGTAAGGTCAAGGAGACGGTGGCAGGGTTGTGGAGCAAATCTGCGAAGAGATGATATGACTTAATCACATGTGTTGTGTCTGTCGGATGCTCAATATAGCCTAGATACCTCTTTCCGTTGTTCCTTGCTTGTTCCCTCGCTTCTTGGCTGATATATATTGATGTCTCTCTGGTCGATTCTACCAATATAATCCCACCAATATGCATACTGGTTCCAAAATCCAGATCTGTGCCTGACAACTACGAACTTTTATCCTCAGCGGCCGATGTTTCGTTGAGCTCGAAGAAAATGAAGTGTATGTCTTAATCCTATCCACAAAAAAACAAAAACAAAAAAACCTTCCCCGCCAACAATGAAGCGCCCCATTCCCTTCACGTTGAAACCACATCATTAGATCATCACTATCATCATCATTATTAGATATTCGACCCCAAATATCCCAGCCAAAAGTAAGTCTATCCATGAGGAGGGGCGGGGGGATCAAGTCACCCAACCAACAACTTCTCACTCCCATCGCCCAGCCCCCGCACCCACCGCCGCCACTCCTGCCACTCGGCATATGTACAACTCGCCTTCAGCCCTTGATACTTGACTGCCCGGAAATCCGAGACCTGGTCCCATGGCGGCTTGACCGCCGTACTGCCACTACTGTTGTTACTACTATGATTATTACTCGAGCCGGCCCCGCCCCGGAGGAACCGCCTGGAGGCACTGCTGCTATTGTTGTTGTTGCTGCTGCTGCTGCTGCTGCTGCTGTGGTCGTCCCACCCGGCTTTTTGCATCAGGCTCTTGACGGTCTCCTCCTTGGTCCAGCCTTGTTCGACGGCGACGTCGGGGAGGTAGGTGGCGCCGTAGCGACGGCCGCGGTGGATGAAGGAGATGCGGAGGCCGTGGAGGCCGAGGATCCAGTCGAGGGCGTTGGTGCAGGGTTCGAAGGTGCCTAGGAGGGTTAGGGAGCAGGAGAGGGAGGGGAGGAGGGTGGAAGGGATGGGGGCGAAGCGGGTGTCTTCGAATGCACTGTTATCGAGGGTTTCGTCAGTATTCTCATGTGGCGAGAATGAAAGTTTTTTTTGAGGGAGTGGGTTTCCATACGAGGTAAGAGCGTAGTCTCGCAGGCCCTCGGACAGCTCCTGGGCCTCGAAGGTCCCGATACACCCGCGGAGAGACTTGTGGCCGTGGCGCGAGAGCGTGTTCCAGGTGACGAAGAGCGGGTACTCTTGGGGCTCGGGCGGCTCCTCGCGACGCGAACGGCCGCTGGCGGTGTCGGAGAGCGAGGCGGACCCTGGGGTGGTCAGTGTGGTGGACGTGGTCAGCGTGGAGTGCGAGGAGTTGAGGGATGAGGGGCGCGTCGTCGTCGAGCTGGAACTGGACTGCAATCGGTGCACGCTGGGCAGCTTGATTTTCCGAGCCCCAACACCCGCGGGTTCCTCCTCCTCCTCGTCGTCTATGCTGAGCGAGTAGTCCGTCTCGTCTTCGGTGTCCTGCAGCGCGGAGAGTTTCTTGAACTGTTCATAGCGGGCCCACAGTTCCTCGACTGAGGCCAGGTCGATGGGTTCCTTGCGTTGATAGGAGGCTGCGAGGCTCTCGAAGCAATAGTAGCAGTGGGCCGGCGTTGCCATCTTCCCTTGGGCTTTCTTGTATCTTGGAGGGGCTCTTTGAGGTTGCGGTAAGAATGGCTAGGTTCGTTTTACTCCTGTTTGATCTCGCCGCCGGATCAGCCGGGCTGTGGCTCTTTCGTTTTCTTGGTAATCGAAGATCGTGACGAGTACGGCTGTCACTTCCGTCCGACCTGACGGGATACACGGCTGCTTGATATTGAACCGGGTTAATGGGTCTAGTGGTTAGGATGTTTGACGGCTATCGAAGCGGTCGTAGTGTAAATCGGTCAACGATGGAAAAAGCCAGAGGGCCCGTAGAGCACAGCTCACAACCTCAAATACGCCCGGGAATTGAGTCCGTTGAAGGCCAAAGAGGGGTCGGAGAGAGGGGAAGAAAGAGGGGGAAAACGGGGCTGACGACACCCAAGCCGATAAGACATTATTATCCCACGTGATGCTGTTGAGAAGCGGATTCGGGACGGGTTTATCCGTCACTGAGCATCGATGGGATGGATGATCTTACAACCCAATAAGCATCTTGAAGTGCATTATACTATCATAAGACTAAGTCTCGTCAAGTCGAGTATGGCATGATTTAAGATATGTCAATCGATAAGCATCACGACATTTACAAATATATATGAAGAGGTTCAACTTGTCAGTGTGCTGATGTGTTTGCACACCATGACAACCTCGTGTCTATATACTTCTAGAGGCATATTTTCCATGATCCTTCGGTCCATGGTCAGATGAGCATGAACATCAACGAGGGAGTCAGCTGTTCCCTCGTTCCTTATGCTTTGGTATTGGTGTATTGGCACATGGAGGAATCATCTCCGATGGCCATTTACCACGAAACTCACTAGTATTCGCGAAGGCCTGCTCGGCTTGCAGCTGTTTCCGGAAGCAGGACAGCCATTCTGCGGCCACCTGCACTCGCGCAAAGTGAGAATATTGGCGCAGATGTCTACATTTAGACGTGAAGACGGATTTTGCTCACCAGTGCTCACCATTTTAAAAGTCGAAGCTGGTGACTTCGATTAATCAGTGATGGCGGTCATCCTTCGGCATTTTGAGACCCATCATAGAGAGCATGTTTCCTGCCGGGCCGGCAACACCAGCCTGACCATGGAGACTCTCAAGCAGATTCTTTGCAAGGTTGATATCAGAATCGCCCTCATCTAGATCTGGCATCTCATCCTCTTCTTCCTCGCCCGATTTGCCCTCCCCCAGTTTCCGCTGATCTTGAGCTGCCTTAGGCCGGCGGTTTAGATCAAGAACTCCGGTACCTCGAAGTTCCGCTTCCATCTGTCTTGATAACTCCTTGATCTGCTCGGTGTCGTCTTCGGAATCATTGTCCAGCTCCTGGACTCTGTTGAGCGGTGGGTGCCCAAATACGCCCCTCTGGCCGTGGCCTGAGCCAGACGGCATTCCCATCATTTCCGCCATCATTCTTGAAAACTCCTCTTCATTGAACGACGCTTCTTTATCTTCGCCCTCGTCGCTCAGCTCATCTTCATCATCATCTACATCATCTTCGTCCGAGCTGAAGTCGTCGATAAATTCCGCTCCCTCGAAGCCAGCTGAGTCGTCATTGAGGAATTTTTCAAACTGTGCCACGATGCGCTGCAAATTCTCCTGTGCATTGGAGTCACCAAAAGCACCCCGTGCACGCGAGTCGTCGTCGTTGCCCTTTCCCTTGCCTTTCAGTTCCTGGTCTAGATCCTCAAAGCTGATATCTAGCCACTTCTCGTCATCTTCCCGTTGGTCCCAGGTTTGTATCTCTTCATCTGTCGGTAACTGCTCGTCTCCAGTGTCCAGATCTTCCAGGATGAGGTTCATTTCTCTCACTGTGGCTTTATCCTGGTTTTGAGGGTCGTTGAGGAGCATTTCAAACCCGCAAGCCAGCTTCATGCCTATTTCTGCCCGTCCATAGGCTGTTTGATCGTCCTTCGGCGGCAACTTCTCGGCCCAGGACTTGGGAATGGGAAAGTCTTGACTTTTAAGTTGTGCGTAACCGACCCGGGTAAAGCGCACGCTGACCGTAACGAAGTCCTCCGGCTTGAAGATGAAGCTGCTGATGTCCTTCGAACGCAATGGCCGTAATGCGATCGGGTCTCTGAGGTAAAAGGCCTCTACGGCCGCAGATATATAGGCGGGTTTCTGATGCAGCAAGAAAGCGACCTTGCGGGGGATGGTGACCAATGCGGAATGGAGGTTCTCGTCGATTTGTTTAGGGTAATTGCGGAGACGATAAAATGCTTCCTCTTGTATCATGGTCGAGCGCGTCAGTCGCGCGGGTTCCTCCATTATGATCTTCCTCGCATCTGTAAACGACAATTTCTCCGTGACTCTGTCCTTCTTATCATTTTTCGGTTTGATGATAACGAGTTCGCCCTTGTTGATCCATACCTGGAATTGATACAGGTGTTAGCAAAGCCAGAAGGGTATAATGAATCCGACAGCACAGTGACAAACCCTGTTCTCAGCGACGTCCGGTTCCAGCCACGCAGGCAAGGTGGCAGCGGCCTCCACAAGAAGGAATTGCCCGTCACCATCCACGACTCTGGCCCATACATCCTTGTGCTTCTTGGTCAGTTCGCGCAACATGTACACAATAACCCACTCGTCTTCGATGGAGTCTCCAAAATTGGTGCGCCCATGCAAAGATGTTACCCCTGCAAGTCAATCAGTACCAGGGTGCACCAGGCATGGATGGATGGGCATCGCATACCATTATCCTTGGTGATCTCCAACCGGAAACTTTCGCGCTGCCAGATATAATCCTTCAACAGGTCCTTTGTCAGCTCCGCAGCAGTTTTTTGCACCTCGACCAGTCGCGCTCGCGTTTCTGCAACCTCGTCGACCGTAGCGGGGGCGGGGCTAGAAGGGATGTGATATAGCGCATAATCAACGGTATCGTCCGGAATTTCAGGCTTGGGAATGGGACGAAAGGTGGACTTGAACCACTCCAGATCTTCCTCCGACATGGGCGCCATGCTGAGAACCGGATCCCAAGCCGACTTGTTGCGAAATCGAAATGTGGGCTGTTAAATTGTGAGTGATTTAGGAATGAGCTGAAAATTAGCAGTGAGAAATAAATTACGGGCAGGACATGACTTCATACTTGGGCGGGACAGAAAAGCAACGGCAAATTCCCCGGCCCGACGCCTCGAGAGCGTTGACACCAAGCCAGATTGGGCTAGATGTCAACAATACAGTATCCGTCCTCTTCACCGCCCAAAACACGTCCATGGCAAGCTCCCGTATCGCATCGTCGCATCTTGCTCCCCACCACTTTTTTCCCTTCCCTATCACGAGAACCTTGTCGCGTGTTTTTGACGCCCTGAATGATTGTTCAGCCGTCGGGGGTGGTCGCTCCTTGAATGGAACTCACTTTGATTTTACCGTAGCTGACCAATTTTGCAACAATCGCGTGTTCCTCGCGGCCCGACGACAACAATGCCGTGGCCCTACATCGATACGCCGCGCACCGAAGTGGACGGCAACGCGACCTATCTCACCAACGGCTATCGCAGCGTGGGTCGACCAAATCTAACCGCACTCGACTCGGTCGAAAACTCATTCCACACGCCATCCAAAGACAACGATGTGCTCAAGGGGTTCGGAGGCGCGGAGAACGCGAGACGCTCGCCCGCGGGCTTCAAGCTCAGCACGCCGCGGGCGGGCTCCGGCCCGAAGGCCAACAGAAGCGCGTTGAACAGTCGACACGGGCTCCCAAATACGGCCATTCCGAAGGGGGAGTTTACCCCCCTGATGAGAAGCGCGACGAAGAACAACTTCCTGAAGAACGTGTCCATGACGCGAAGACATGGCTCCAAGACGCCAGGCTATACGCGAACGAGCTCGTTGAGCGCGGTCAACACCCCTGGATTGCCGTCGATGGAGATGACGGATATCGATGAGGAAGACGCGACGGATGAGCAGCGGACCCCGATGCCTCAGGACAGTAGCATGCAAAGCACACCGCTCCCGGCTCTGTCCAGGGAAGGAGGTATGGGCGGGCAGCAGAATATGATGTCTTTGCGGGAACAGGAAAAGGTAACATTGCTCCATCTTGAGAGGACTTTCGCCCTCTTGACGGAGCTTTTACTGACTATCTTAGCTGATTGACCAACTCGAGAAAGACAATTTTGGATTGAAATTGAAAATTCACTTTTTACAAGAACAACTGGAGAAGGCGGGCCCCTCGCACAATCAAGCAGCGTTGAAGGAAAATACCGAACTCAAGGTTTCGAAATTGACCATGCAACGCGACATTGCACGATACAAGAAGAGCCTCCAACAGGCCGAGCGCGAACTCGAATCCTATCGCATCGAATTCCAGGAGCTGAAGGAAAAGTCACGAGGGAGGCAATCGGACGACACAATACAGCGCGAGATGGACTTGATGAGGGAGGAGGTGGAAGCGCGGGATAACCAAATCAGAGAGCTCCAAGAGGAGCTGCGAGATGAAAAGGACCAGCAATCACGGGAGATGGAGAAACTCCGAGATGAAATCGAGGATCTGGAAGCATCGCTAAGGCAGAAGGACCGGACGATCGACGAACGTGACGAGGAGATAGAAGAATTGAAGGATAGAGATGGCAAGGAACGCGATGCTCTCTCTGAGCTGGAAGCAGAACTTCAACGTGCGAAAGAGCAAATGGAAGAGTTGCAAGATTCGCTAAGCCAAGCCAAGCTAGAAGCGAGGGAAGCGAGAGACGCCGGACTAGAGGCTGTCAGGGAGAAGGAACAAGCCCAACAAGACCTCCAGGAATTGCATGATGAAATGGCGAACAAGTCTATCAGCACGAGTGGACTAACCCGTCAGCTCGAAGAGAAAGCGAACAAGCTTGAGGAGGACTTGCGGAGTCTGCAGCAGGAGAACAGCACCCTCAAGAGAGAACTCGACAACAAGGCCCGGAGCGAGAATCGTCTCGAAGAGCAGTATCGGGATGGTCAGCGGAGCTTTGATGACAAGGAGCGCAAATTTCACAATGATATCGCACAGGCACGACGGGAACGTGACCTTTCTCGCCAGGAATGTGATAAGTTGGCAGCTCAATTGCAGAATGCATTGGATGAAATTCAACGCAAGTCTGATGAGAAGGAACTGCTACAAACCCGACACAGCGCTTTAACGGATGAATCTGGCGGTCTACAGCATGACTTAGCCAACGCACAGAACAAGATTCGAGAGCTACAGCAAGCGGTCGAGGACGAAAGACATCGTGCGCTGGACCAAGCGAACATTATTCGTACTCAGTACAAGGAAGAAGTCGAGAGGCAGCAAGAAGAAATCGAAGCCCTGCATCATGAAATTGAGGACAAAGAAGGGCAATTTGCGCTTGAACAGGACAGATGGGAGAGCGCAAGGCGAACCTTGCAGCTCCAGAAGGACAGGGCTGAGGATCAGGCGGCTGGCTTCAAGCGCACGATTGAGAAGCTCGAACAAGTGGAGCATACGCTATCTGGAAAAGAGATGAAGTTGCAAGAAGTCATTGACAGCGAGAAGACGCGACACTTCGACTCGGAGGCTGTCCTGAGTCGACAGGTCAAGGAATTGAACGACGACCTGGCATCAAAGCGAGAGATAATTGATGAACAGAGGAACGAACTCTTGTCCACCAGAGAGGAATTGAGACTTGTACGACGCGCAGAGACGACTTTCAAAGAGAAAATTCAAGCGTTGGAGGATGAGATTGTGGTCTTGCAAGCAAACCTGGAAGAAGAACAGGAATTTGTCAAGGGTCGTACACAGAAAGGATCCTTGGAGCAGGACGGTCAGGTGCAGAAGCTGTTAACAGAAAAGCAAAGACTTCGAGATCAGCTTGCTAATGCCCACGTGGAATTGCACGACTTGCGGACTTCTTTTACCGAGATTGAAGCTGAACGCGATGAGCTTCAAAGTCAACTTGATCATGTCCAAAACCAGGTTGACGACACGACACGCTTCGACAAAGAGAAGATTGACCTGCGCAAGTCGACTCTGCGTCTCGAAGCCGAGCTCAAGCGCCTTAGGGAAGACAAGTCATCGCTTTTTGAGGCGAAGGAGATATTGGAGAAGCAGCTTAGCACTGAGATTGAGCGTGCTACGCTGGAAGAGAACCGCCTCTTGGCAGAAATCGACCAGCTCCAGGATAAGCTACTTACAACTTCCGGGGGCAGTGAACGTGAACTTGCTCTCGCCAAAAGTAAGATACAACGTCTCGAGAGACGTATCCAGGAACTCGAAACACTCCTTCATGAGCATCCGCATACTGAGCCTGAGCTTGAGCATTCAACTGCACACACAGACCTCTCGATGCTTCGTCATGGCTTAGACGAAGCACGGAGACGTGAGAAGATCCTTCTCCAGCGGGAAGCCGAGCAGAAATCGTCCGTACGGGCCTACAAGGCAAGAATTTCCGAGCTCGAGAGGGAACTGCATGAATTCTTGATGAACAAGTTCGAAACCCGATCACCCTCATCGTCACCCTCAAACAAGCTCCATGATGAACTCCGCAACATGCGGAAGCAACTGTCCGAGGCACACCGAGCGCTCAAGGAAGTGAAGCAGAAGAACCGCGAGCTGGAGCGAGCTGCCATGAGAGAAGAAGATCAACGGGACCTCCATGAACTACTCAAATCATCCACACTCGAGGCCGAAGCTCTCGCCCTCAAGGTCTCGGAGCGTGATGCCCGCCTCAACGAGCTCAAGTCCCAAATGCGCCGAATCCGCGATGAGCGGTCGTTCTGCGCGCGTAGAGCCGAAACGTCTCTCAAGGAACTCGAGGCTCTGCAGGATCGTTACGACCAGCTTGTGGAGAAGCTGGGAACCAGAACCGACAGCAAGACACGACACGACAAGGAAATTCTGGGTCTCGGCAAGGAGATCATTTGGCTCCGTGCTCGTCTAAAGCGAGAGGAGAAATTCCGTCGCGATCTGGCTTGGAGTAAGGGATTGATGGAGCTGGGCGAGCGCGTCCGGGTTGCATGGTACGTATACTTCCCTTTCATCTTCACGGATCAGTCCTCGCCACAAGATAACTGACTTTCTATCGTTTCGCATCACTGTAGCAACGAAGCCGACCTGCGCATGATCTCAGACATGGGCGTCAAGCCCCGAGACCGCACCCCCCACCGGACCCCACAGGCGAAACTCAAGACCGCCATCTCCATGGTCAAAGCCATCGTCCGCATGCGACGAATGAGCCAGGACTGGAAGAAAACCAAGAAGATTGGCGAAGGGTTGAAACGGGCCAAGAACGAGGTCGTGAAGAGAAGAGAGTCGTCGAACAAATACTGACGAAACAGTTACTCAAATTCAAGCCCCGTCGTGAACGGAGCCAGCCTGTCAACTCTGCCACCTTCCGGCAACAACATTTTGCATAGATGCTTTATCTTTCTCATCCCCCTCTCCCTTGCTCGTACTTGCACTCGCGCTTTTTTTGTATGTGACTTGGTTCAGTTTCAACATCCAGTCAAGAGCGTCCGTCATATGTTCTCACTTTTGCTTTGCCCCCCGGAAATTTCGGCACCTTTGATGATAAGAAGATTCCCCGACGTGTTTGTGTTTTTCTGGTATCATGAGCCTTTTGTGTGGTCTCATATGGCGTTTTTCGTTGCTTTCGTGCCTCTCTGGCTTCTTTCTTGTTCTTCTCTTTGCCTTGGGATGGATGGATGGATGGACGGATGATTTCGTTTGAATAGCCTGATTGATTTCGACTCAGTGCATGGAACTACACCCTTTTACATTCCTAGACTGTACCCGAGCTGTTGGTGCGTCTTAGGCTACGAACCCCCCAGCCGAATGAATGCATATACATCTGCGATGAGTTTTTATAGCCTGGATACGAGTTTCGCTTAACCCGTCGTTTAACTGCCAAGGTTCAAAGACCGGGTTTCATCAACAGAAGATGCTAACAATAATGCTTTCTTGATTGTACCAATAACAAAGGTGACAACCGTGAGGTATGCTTCGAGGGCAACCCGAAGAGAAGTGATGAATGGTAAATAGAAGTAGTGTTTTAACTCGAAGTAACAGCATCAAGTAACGCCTCGCCTTGTCACATATTCAGATCGGAAGAGAATCGAGAGAAAAAAAAAAAAAAGCTCCTAACACCGAAGTCATGGTGAGAAGGATTTGCAGAGAAACATCAGCGCAAGAGGCACAAGGACGGCAGAACAAGAGGCAAAAAAAAAAAAAAAAAAAAAAAAAAAAACAGTGTATAGAAACAAATGGAAACACATAAGCATAGGTCGTTCCTTTCGTTCATCCAACTCGGTTAGTAGTGAAAATCAGAGAGAATCAGATCGGCGTTTCAGTGCAAAAACCAGCGAGAAAGATTAAGTCCCATGTAAGTTTGACTCTATATCAGGATCAATGGTTTAAAGACGGACAAGTGGGATGGGGCGGTTCTTAATAGGCAGATACAAGGGCTCAGGCACCCTCGCTGCCGAATTCTTGCGTCCATTCAGAGTTTCTTTGAAGATCCTCCTGGCTGACGGTTGGTCTGGAGTTGCGCACAGCCTTGATGAAGTCTTTGAGGATTAATGGTGGCTCCAAGAGCTTCTCTGCGTCCACGCTTGTCCATGTCATTTCGATGGCGCCCTGATCGCCAGGTGAGCAAGGCGTGAGCTTCTCTGCACCGTCGACGATGACCTAATCGTGGTTAGTCGGATGTCTGAACCATGTGGGAAGACAGAGTGAAGTTTACTTTCTTGTAGTGCGTCGCGGTCTGAATCTTCCGAATGGGCTGCATTAGCGCATCCTGTACCGCGATGCTGATATCACTGCCCGAGTAGCCCTCGCTCATCTCGGCCAAGGTCCGATAATCGGCTTGCGTCATCTCACACGGCGTGGAGCCAACGGCTAGCATAAACATCTTCATGCGGGCGTTGATATCTGGGAGACTGATGTGGACTCTCCGTTGGAAACGGCGACGAATGGCAGCATCCAACTGCCACGGGATGTTGGTCGCACCGAGGATGAGGACGCCCCTGGAGTCTTTTCCGACACCGTCCATCTGCACGAGCAATTCAGTCTTGATACGACGGGACGCCTCGGACTCTCCTTCTCCACGGGGGCCGCAGAGCGCATCGACCTCGTCAATGAAGATAATGGCGGGTTTGTTTTCTCGGGCCATGTTGAACAGCTGCTTCACGAGCCTGGGAAAAGGCACCGTTAGCGCCTAAAGCCTTGTAGTCTCACAGCACGAGCAAGCATCCATACCTTTCACTCTCACCCATCCACTTGGACACCAGGTCACTGCTACTTACACTGAAGAAGGTACTGTTCGCCTCCGTCGCGACCGCCTTGGCAAGATACGATTTACCCGTACCGGGCGGCCCATACAGCAAGATACCCTTCCACGGTTGTCTCTTCCCCGTGAACAGATGCGGGAACTTGATCGGCAAAATGACCGCCTCCTTCAAGGCCTCCTTCGCGCTCTCCAAACCTGCGACATCCTCCCACTTGACGTTCGGTTTATCCGACAAAATCGCGCCGGCCAGAGCGGACCGTAACTTCTTCGCTTCGGCATCCTCGCCATCATCATCTTCTTTCCTGTTTGCAAGTAATAACGACCAATTGTCAGTTATCCAGCCAACCCAAAATGACTTTAAAGGAGGAAGTAGAGAACGCATTGAAGAACGAGTTTCTCCATCTTCTTCTTCTCAACAAAGCAAACAGAAGAATAAAAACATACCCTCCCTTCCCACTCCCTTGCGCGACCTTCCCATTCGCGCCCACTGCGCTCGGCTTTTTCCGCCCCTCCTGCGAGGCGAGATGGTTCTTGAGCTTCTCGGCCCGATCCATGTATTCGCCGGTCTTTGCGCGGATCATCTCCTTGGAGCGGGGGTTCTTCTCCCATTTCAGGGCCAGCATGAACAGCTCCAGGGCGGAGTAGTAGAGCTGATAGGCCTTCTCATATTCGCCCTCATTGTCGTTCTCGATGGCCTTTTTGACGGTGTCGATTGCCCGGCCGAGGAAGTCGGTGTTGCTCATGGCTATGTGAACAAAGTGGGGGAGGGGTGAGCGGAAGATGGTTGGCAGGCGAAGGCAGTTTTGTTCTTTTTTTGGTTCTCCCGGCTACGTAATGAGGCTTTTGAAGGGGTGGTGGAGGGAGGGATGGGACACGGACAGAGGACGGAGAAAGGCGAAAGGCGGGGAGAGAGTAGGTACAGTACTAGACCGAGACCGAGGAGTGGCTGGGTTGATTGGTTGATTGATAGGGAGGTAGGTAGGTAGCCCTGGCTTGATGAGATCAGTGTAGCTATAAAGTCTTGCGAATAAATCACAAGGATTGGAATCGCGGGGAGTTCCAGTGCAAGACCCCCAAGTCAGTTTCTTGAATGTCTTCCTGGGGAAACGAATTGTAGCAGAGAGGGTAGGTTAAGTTGAGATGGCAACAAGTTGAACTGAACCGTCCGAGTGGGTTGGTTGTTTACCGTCTTTGGTTTTCTGCCGCTCCGCCTGGCCGTTTTTGCCCCTCCGAGCCGCCGCCCGCGCAGCTGCCCGCCCGCACCTTCTCCCAGCTTATTCTGTTGGTTACTTTAACCCCTCTCTCCTACTCAACAGTTCTATAGAACCATAAAACTACCGATCAAAAATATGGCGGACGCTCAGAAAAAAATGCAGGCGCTCTCGGATGAGTTCCAGCAATTGCAGACTGGTGTGTACTCTCGGATTGCCCCGTGGCTGGGTTTTAAGCGCATCGCGTCATATAGCTCATTGCTAACGAGAAACCCCTCACCACTGCCAGAACTCGACGGTCTTGTCGATGCGCGCCAAAAGCTCGAGTCCCAGCAACAAGAGAACCTGGGCGTACAGAAGGAATTCGACACGCTCGATGACGAGTCCAACATTTATAAGCTGATCGGTCCGGTCCTCTTGAAGCAGGATAAGACTGAGGCTGTCATGGCTGTCAATGGACGGTTGGAGTTCATTGAGAAGGAAATGTATGCCACCGTATTCCTTACAGTGGACAAAACAAAAAGAGGTCTAATGGTTGAGCTACAGTAAGCGGATCGAGGGACAAATCCAGGAGAACCAGGACAAGTCGGACAAGAAACGTACTGAGGTAAGCTTTGAGTTGATTGGGGTCTGAAGCTGAGACTAGAAGCAATTCTGATGGATTCTACAGATTGTTCAGTTCCAAACCCAGGTTCAGCAACAAGCCGCCGCTGCTTCTGCTTGAGTGGTGGAGGATGGTATAATGAGTTAGCTCTAGACTGAGGATGAACCGCCCCCCCACACTTCCTAAGCGTGGTAGGGACCTGTGCATCAGAACGACGGACCTGGATGCACTCGCATTGTCGGTGGTCTTGCGGGTTGATGCCTCAGCAACTGTGCAGCACAGTTGCATTCAATTCGGACAGCGATGTAGAGAGACGATCGGTGAGATCTCCAGTGTAGGACCTTTACCAGCCTACTCTTCGTTGTCGATGGAAAAAGTATGTGGTTTTAGATACCCTTGCAATGATTCAGTTTTGTGGTTTCTTACCTCTTCCTCAATCGATCACCGGTGGGATTGCCCCCAAAAGGGACAGAAAGAACCATCATATCGCTCAAGGTACGGAGTAATATTACTGGGTTCCAGGGAGCTATCAATCTAATATCCCAGTTGTTCTATGTGTGCAACCAATCACCCTCCTACAATTCACTTGATGCCCTTCGGGCGCTCCATTAATATTCATCGCTTCATAAATCGCCGTATCTAGAAACCTGAACTATAGTCTATACACTAAATCTATGCCTTAACCAAAAGACTGCGTCCGGACATCTCCTCGGGCTGCTCAACGCCCAAGGCAGCCAGGATGGTGGGGGCGACGTCACCGAGGACACCATCCTCCTTCTTGAGGCTCCAACCCTCGGGGGCGTTGGCCATGACGAAAGGAACCTTGTTGAGGGTGTGGGAGGTCTTAGGGGTGCCCTTCTCGTTAAGCATCTCCTCGGCGTTTCTGCGGGGTTTGTTAGCTCATATCATATTAACTGGGGTTAGGGTCACAACTTACCCATGGTCAGCGGTGATGAACAGAATGTAGTTGTTCTTCTTGCAGGCCTCGTAAATGACACCGATAGCCTTGTCGGTGGCAGAAACACCCTCGATGGCAGCTTCATAGACACCGGTGTGGCCGACCATGTCGGGGGGAGCGAAGTTGTTCATGACGAACTCGAACTTGCCCTCACCAAGGCGCTCGGCCATCTTCTCACCAACCTCCTTGGCGCTCATCTTGGGGTCCAGGTCGTAGGTGGCAACCTTGGGCGAGGGGATCATGTCACGCACCTCGCCGTCGAACTGCTTCTCGATACCACCGTTGAAGAAGAAAGTGACGTGGGCATACTTCTCGGTCTCGGCAACGTGGCACTGCTTGAGGTCCTTCTTGCTGAGCCACTCCGCCAGCACATTACCCATGTGCTGAGGGGAGAAAGCAACGGGGAAGGTGTAATCGGTCTTGTACTGGGTCATGGTGGTGATGTGGATGTCCTTGGGGTAAGGGAAGTCGGCCTTGGGGGAGCGGTCGTAGTCACCCAGCAGCTGAGTGATCTCACGAACACGGTCAGAGCGGTAGTTGAAGAAGAACAGGGTGTCGTTGTCTGTCGAACATTATCCGTCAGTAAGGCCATTCATCCACGCCATGAAAGAAAGTGAAAACATACCCTGGACACGTCTGTCCTTGCCGCCGACAATGATAGGCTTGAGGAACTCGTCGGTCTCCTTCTTCTCATAGCGCTCGTTGATCGTCTTGACGGGATCCTCGCTGTCCTCACCCTCGCCAGTGACGATACCCTTCATGGCGATCTCGACACGGTCCCAGCGCTTGTCGCGGTCCATGGCCCAGTAGCGGCCAACGACGGTAGCGATCTCACCGATGCCAATTTCCTTAGTATGGTCAAGCAATTGCTGCATGTACTTGGCGGCACTCTTGGGGTCGGTATCACGTCCATCACCGAAGAAGTGGATGAAGACTTGGGGGATCTCCAACTCCTTAGCAACCTTCAGCAGACCAACCAGGTGAGTGATGTTGGAGTGGACACCACCGTCCGAGACCAGACCCAACAGGTGCAGACGGCCGTTGCCCTCCTTAGCCCGCTTGAAGGAGGCGACAACGTTGTCGATCTTGTTGAGCTCACCCTTCTTCAGGGTCTGGTCGATGCGGACGCTGTCCTGCCAGACAACACGGCCAGCACCGATGTTCAAGTGGCCAACCTCGCTGTTGCCCATGAGTCCCTCGGGCAATCCGACGGCGAGGGACGAGGCATCCAGCTCGGTGTAACCTTGGGCAGTCTTGGAGTCGGCCTCAGCGAAGCCAGACATGAAGGGGGTCTCAGCGGCGAGGATGGCATCACCGTCCTTGCGGGAGTCGGGCCCGGCGACACCCCAGCCATCGATGACGACTGAGCAGATGGGTTAGTCGATTGAGATATCAAAGACAGTTCTGAGGGAATCGACTTACTCAAAGCGACCTTCTGATCAACCTTAACCATGGTGAAGTGATGCTGAATAGAAATTGGCTGGTCAGCGAATTCGACGGCGGGGCAAAGGAACCTTGAAGGTAGCGACGTATAGTTCCGAGCATCGTGATTGGGGGGAGTGGATAAAAGACGTATACTTACTTGGAGATGGATAATTGGGAAGGAAAACTAGGAATAGGAATTGAAGCAAGGAGGAAAAAGAGAATCAAGAAAGAAGACAGGACGAAAGAGGAAGAAGAGTAGGTGGACTGGTGGAGAGACCGGAGTAAAAAGGCTGGCCCGGTGAAAACAACTGGGTTGGGATGGAATGGATGAGGGGGAGGGGCTCTTTTCCTTTTTCTTCCCGGTGACGCTTTGGGGTTGTTTTCTTCCCGACGTCACTCTCGAGTCTCTGGTAACCGCCAACCGCCAACTGCTCACTGCTCAGCTTTGCTCTGGCACGGGCACTTCTTTCTCCTGCCGTTCTCGTCCGCCCGCAACAAAACTTACCTCCACGTTCCGGCTCTTCCCTAAACAATTACCCAGCAACCCGAAATCAGGGGCCCCATATTTCGTCTCTTGCTCAGTGCCCACTCCTGCCTGCTGTCAGTCTTCATCCTGCAACCGCAAGAATACACTAAGCCGACTCTCGCCGTCCCGGTTCTCTTCCGATCATGGCGTCCAGATCCCCAACGGCCTTCACACCCGCAGCCAAACCACCGCCCTCCGCGCCCGAGACCCCAATCGTGAAGGACACCCCCATTACACCTCAAGCGGTTCCGTTTCCGCCCCCGCAGACTTTCGATATCATTCCGCCATTGCACGGTCTTCTGCTTCGCCTGCTCGCATCCCCCGGGACAGCTGGTAACGGCGTCAGGGCCGCTGAAGTCAACAGTGGAGGCTCGGGCCCGGTCGGACAACCCACAAGTGCTCCTGGCCAGCCTCACTCACAACCTGGGAATGAAAGCCACGGTCACCCTGGAGTGCTGTTGACGGTTCCATCCGCAGGACCTGGACCGGTTTCCGCCTCGGCCGAACTTGCAGCCTTGGGGTCGAATGCACCCCCACCGCTCGATATCAAAGATCTCCCGACCGAGGTCAGCTCGATCAAGATCCGAATTCAGAAGGCGCAGGCAGTGGTGGAGAATTTGCCAGATGTTGACCGCTCTGTTACAGAGCAGGAGGTAGAAATCCAGGAGCTCGAGGACCGTATCGCAAAGCTCAAATCAGTCATCTCTGACTTTGGCCGGAGAGCTAGTCCTCGGGGCGCGAGCAAAGCCAGAATCACTGAATCTTGAGGGCTGTGAGCGGTAGACCTATGGACATCAACGATGGCGGGAGCACCGCCATGATCTCGGTCATAACCCAATGGAGCAGGACGCTTCTTCTCGAAGCCGGCTAGTATCAAGCATGCATACTCGGGCCCGCTGTATCATTCAATTCACGTGAACTCATGTCGATTGTTGGGTTGGGTTGGGTCTAACACAGAAACTGGTTTTGATAGCCCAGCACACTGCAAAGTAGCCCGATCATCGAACCCCTGGCTGTTGGCACGGTCAGTTGGCTCAGATTGTTGTTAATGGAACGTCGCTGCGCTATGAAGAGGCCTGCGGACTCTACCTGAAGCCACAGCAATACAAGGGAATAAGCTGCCACCGCTGCTGTTCTAGAAAGAACTGCAGACACTTGGATAGTACCGACCACCATGGCCGTCCTGCCCCTTACCTACGTTTGCCATGCAACCAGCATGCTAGTGGCTGAACGATATTTCACAAAAGCTGCTCTCTAGGGATCTTGCAGCTGGGAAGCGCTGTTCATTATGCTTGACAACCCCGCTCTGGCCTCCACGGTCCTCATTGTGCATTGGAATGAGACCCGCAGTACATCAGGTGATATTGATCTGCAAGGAAGGACTTTCGGGGTTATCATTGAGCTGATGACAGACGAAGTGGTGAACTAAAGATTCTTTTTTTTTTTTTTGAGCTTTGTAAGAGGTGGAGGTCTGCATAAGTCAAAAGGACAGTCAATGAAGCTTTTTAATCTCCTGTGACTATTATCTCTACTTGTAAGGCTTGCGTGCGTGACCTGAAATTCAGCTTTCGTATGGCTGGAAACAATGCACTACATAGACGTAACCTGGTCCGATCACCTCTCGGGAATAGATTGCTGGTGCTGCTTGCTTGCTCGGCGAGCAAGCTCCAGTGGATACCTGCGACGGTGAGTCAGACCGTGGTTTTACAGCCAACCAATTTTTTTTGGGCGTTTTGGTGGTTTGGTTTGAATCTAGACAATTTATTTCTTCGGAATATCGTATTGAAGCACCAATCAAAAGGGAAACGATGTGCAATCTACAGGATTGACTTTTGGCAGAAACGAGCGAAATGCCTCCAAATCCCAAGGATTGTGGCAGGCGATGAATAATAGCGGCGACTAAACGCATAGAACGCATAGAATGGACACTCCGTAGCCCACGGAGGAGTCGGTGGGTTTTCGCAAGCACGGCTCCGATGTCGTTCCCGGACTTGCGACCGCCTCCGGATTTTTCTTAGTGGGAGTCATTTTTTGTCATTTTTTCATTTGCCTCCCGTCGTCCAGTTCGGACTGCGGGGCTCAAAGGAGGAAAGATTGGTCTGTGACCTCCGTCCTGAGGCAACTTTTTTCCCTTCCCGACCCAGTCCGCCGCCGCGCATCTTCTTTCCCCCACCCCGCCAGATCCTCCCTCTCTTTTCTACCTCTTCTTCTACCTCTCCCTTCCCCCTTCAATCTTCCTTTCTCTTTCTTTCTTTTCCTCCTCATCCCATCCTTTTCTTTCCTCTCTTCTCCTTTCCATTCCCTCCTCCATCTTCACATCACACACAATGGCCACCTACGCCCTCCCCCAGTCCCACCGGGACGTAAGTACTCCATGTCCTCAAGAAAGAACCAAAGCAGTTGACTGACTCATCGGTGCAGCAAATGGAGAAGTCTCTCGTCGAGTCCGACCCTGAGATCGCCCAGATCATGGTATGTTCTCCCCCTCAATTCCTCGTTGACAACCAATGGTCAAGAACGATACTAACATGTAATTCTACAGGAGAAAGAAATCCAGCGTCAGCGTGAATCCATTGTCCTGATCGCCTCGGAGAACTTCACCTCCCACGCCGTCTTCAATGCCCTGGGCTCTCCCATGTCCAACAAGTACTCTGAGGGTTATCCCGGTGCCCGTTACTATGGTGGTAACCAGCACATCGATGCCATCGAGCTTACTTGCCAGGCTCGTGCCCTCAAGGCCTTCAACCTTGACTCCGAGAAGTGGGGTGTCAACGTGCAGTGCCTCAGTGGAAGCCCTGCCAACCTCCAGGTCTACCAGGCTCTCATGCGCCCCCACGACCGCCTCATGGGTCTCGACCTCCCCCACGGTGGTCACTTGAGTCACGGTTACCAAACTCCTTCCCGCAAGTACGTCTCCAAAGCTTGCTCAGCTTCATGCAAGCTCTTGCTGTCAATTGAAACCAGCTGCTAACGTCGTTTCCTGCAGGATCTCTGCTGTCTCCACCTACTTCGAGACCTTCCCCTACCGTGTCAACCTTGAGACTGGTATCATTGACTACGATACTCTCGAGGCCAACGCCGAGCTCTACCGCCCCAAGATCCTGGTCGCTGGTACCTCCGCTTACTGCCGTCTCATTGACTACGAGCGTATGCGCAAGATCGCCGACAAGGTTGGCGCCTACCTCGTCGTCGACATGGCCCACATCTCTGGTCTGATCGCTGCCGGTGTCATCCCCTCTCCCTTCGAGTACGCCGATGTCGTCACCACCACCACCCACAAGTCCCTCCGTGGTCCCCGTGGTGCCATGATCTTCTTCCGCAAGGGTGTCCGCAGCCACGACGCCAAGACCGGCAAGGACATCATGTACGACCTTGAGGGTCCCATCAACTTCTCCGTCTTCCCTGGTCACCAGGGTGGTCCCCACAACCACACCATCACTGCCCTCGCCGTTGCCCTCAAGCAGGCTGCTTCCCCTGAGTTCAAGCTGTACCAGGAGCAGGTCATCAAGAACGCCAAGGCCCTTGAGAATGAGTTCAAGGTTCTGGGCCACAAGCTCGTCTCTGACGGTACCGACAGCCACATGGTCCTCGTCGACCTCCGCCCCAAGAGCCTCGACGGTGCCCGTGTTGAGGCTGTCCTTGAGCAGATCAACATTGCCTGCAACAAGAACTCCATCCCCGGTGACAAGTCCGCTCTCACCCCCTGCGGTATCCGCATTGGTGCCCCCGCTATGACCACCCGTGGCATGTCCGAGGACGACTTCAAGCGCATTGCCCGCTACATTGACCAGTCCATCAACATCTGCAAGCAGGTCCAGAGCGAGCTGCCCCAGGGCGCCAACAAGCTCAAGGACTTCAAGGCCAAGGTCGCTTCCGAGACCGTCCCCGAGATCCTCGAGCTCCGCAAGGAGATTGCCCAGTGGGCCAGCACCTTCCCCCTCCCCGTCTAAGTGTGATCACTGCCCCGGGGTAGCCTTCAACAATATGATACCACATCTTCTTTTTATGATTTTGTTTTGGTTTTCGAGTTCAACATCTAGCCGGTGTGTCGTTTTATACAGGGGTTTTATACAGGACTGCTTTTTCAACCTTACGCGGGTCATGGGACATGGATATGCATGAGCATGTGTGAATGATTTGAGGAGAAAAAAAATAAGCACCAGGATGCTTTCTTCAACACTTTCTTCAACAGGACAGGAAAAGTTCGTGGTTGAAAATCAAAGGCTTTAACCGCCTTGACTGAGTTTAGTATCAGTATCAGATAACTCAGAGCTAATAATTCGTGAAGTTCAACTTCTCTCATTTGTTTCCATATCGTAGCAGTGGTAGTAGCACTCTTTGGATTGTTTATACGTAGTTCAAGGTGCCTTTGGGGTTCCTCCTGCGTCACCCATTAAGCTGTGCTCCTTCTTTCAATCACTTATTCCCCAAGTTTGTCTACACCTCACAGCTCAACCTTACCATCCCCACCCTGACTGAACCCCATTGACCCCATCGCCACATCGGCCTTCTCCCTCTGTTCCTCCCACTCCTTCACCATCAAAGCCGCCACATTCTTCCCCATCAACGCGCTCGTCTCCATCGTCGAGATGAAATTCTCGATGCCCCCGGTATACCACACGTGGGGTGCCAGCGCGATCTCCTCAAAGGTCACTCGCGGATAGACGAACGGATAAGGCCGCCAGACCTTCTCATGGAACCAACTGATGTCCTTGCTTGGAAGGTCTTCGATGGACGAGGTGGTGGCAGTTTCCTTCATGTCCTGGACCTCTAGTGGGTCCGCGAGCCCGAGGATCGAGCGTAGGAAGGCGGCGGTAGGGCGTTCCGGGGAGAAGATCTTATAGACATAGTGCTCCTGCTGTGGATGGTCGTTTTCCGATTCCGAAGAAGTAGGATGAGAAGGGGGAGGAGGAGGAACAACCACGGTGCGGAGGGTACTGATACTCCAGAAGTTGGCGGGGCCGACGCCCTTTTCAGCTTTGCCTACAGTAGGGTCCAGGTCGTGGGGGAGGGTGGTGAGGATGGTTTCTGGGGTGTTGGGACCGGGGAGGTTGAAGTGGGCTGGCGAGAGGCGGTGCGGGGAGGAGAAGAGGGTTACGTGCAGTTTTACGAAGGGGACATCGTCGGGGGTGGTCTGCAGGGGTGGGGTTGTGGTGATGTCGGTGAACTGGAAAGGGGCGGCGATGATGATTTCATCATAACCTTCTTCGGTCTGAGCTGAAGAAGCGGTGCTGCTGGCTTTGAATGTGAGGCTTGCGGGACGGTGCTGCTGACCTTGGGCGTCCCAGTTGATGGATGTGACGGTGTGATTCACACGCACGGAGGCCCCGGAGGCCTTGAGCATGCCGTCGAAGATCTGCCAGTTGCCGCCTTCAATGGCCATGGCGCCGTCGGTGGCGAGGCAGACCATCGTCTCAAGGCCGTGGATGAGGCCTAGGTTCTGTCCATAGTTGACGCGCGTGCTGGCTTGGACGATCTCGCGGGAGAAGAGATCGGAGATGCGGTTGAGCCGCAGGAATTCCAATCCGGGCACGGCGACGGTGTTAAGGAGCCCGACGGCCTCGGTGGCTTGGGTGAGGGACCGGAAAGGGAACATGGGTCCGTCGTAGAGTTGCAGGAACTTGTTGACGGTAGACTTCATCAGTCGGTAGGCGTTGACTGGTGCCAATCCGTATCGCCAGAGCAACTTGGCCAGGTTCCACCAGCCAGAGGTGTCTTTGAACACGAACACCATCTGGTCCCCGTCCCAGATGCCGATGGTGTCGTCGGTCTCTCGGGGTCGCTCATAGCTGGCGCTCCGGGCGTTGAGTCCCAGGTCTCTGGACGCATTCACCAGGTTGTAGTTGACGCTGACAAAGATCGAAGCCCCCAGTTCGATCGGATAACCCGGGTGGTCGAAGACGTTGACCGTGGTTGAGCGGCCTCCAACATACGAAGAGCGCTCGAAGACAGTGATGTTGACGGGAACATGCTGGGCATCAGCGTACTTGCGGAGAGAGTATGCAGCCGATGATCCTGCAGCTCCAGCTCCTACCTGGGATGTCAGTCATCAAAGCTTGGATTGCAATGGAGTATGGTAGTAGTTACCGATGACCGCGACTTTCTTAGGAGCTATCTCTCCGAACGAGCTCAAGGGTTGCTGTTTAGCGGCATTGCTGCCAGGAATGAAGCATAGAATGAACCAATAGTATATGAGCTGAGTATATAGGAAGTAAACAAATGATGGACGATTAGGATGGGATTTCATGATAGCAAGTTTCTTAATGGATAGAGTAGAGATGGGTTCCGTGCTTGCACAGGGGACCGATTCCTTCGATGATGATATTGTGACGCTTCGACGGCAGACAGAGATATGCACTTTTCTACTCAGTAACAGACACACTCAACAGGTCATTATACGCGAACAGAAGCGATGAGAGACATCAGACAGTGAGAGTGAGTAAAAAGAAGAAGTAGGCTGTAGTTACTCCGTCGGTGATGCATCGAGCCATATCAAAGGAGCTAATCCCGATTAGGCTAAGGTGCCTGGGGCCGGGACTCGGGACTCTATCGCTTATCGCTTTTCTACGGGCTTTTTTTTTTCCCAGCTGCCCAAAAATCATCGCATCGCTCAGTTGCCTCGTACAGGACCACTCGATCCATTGCATTGTGCTTGAAGCCAACTGCACGTCCTCGTCGCGACTGCGCATATTATCTTATTCATATATCGCTACATTTGACCGATCTGACTCACCGATCATGGACCCCTATGACAGCGACTCATCTTTCGACGATGAGGGGGACTTCACCGAGACCGGCGTGCTCTTGGGTTACGCAGCAGACGAGATTTTAGAAGACACAATCAGTCACCTGGGTGGAACTCCGGTACATCTCCTCGGACACCGCTTCACAAGAAAGCATCTACAAGAACAAGCTCACTGACGAATGTTATTGCCCCAGACCTGGCTCGACGACGCTACCCCGCCTCCGGGCGAATTCGCCAAATGCAAAGTCTGCAACTCGCCCATGCTTCTCCTCCTCGAACTGCACGGTGATCTCCCTGACGACTTCCCCGACAACGAGCGACGTCTGTACATCTTCGCCTGTCCCAGGAAACCCTGCAACCGCAAACCCGGCAGCATCAGAGCCCTGCGCGCTACCCGCAAGGTGAAGAGCGAACAGCCCCGAGGCGCAAAGGAACAGGAAGAAGTGGAGGAGATCCCAACTGAAGCCCCCAGCAAGGAAGAGGAGAAGACGAAGAACGAGGCTCCTAAACCGGATCTCGGCGCAAGTCTATTCGGATCCTCCTCCTTGATAGGCAGTGTCTCCGCCAACGCCAACCCCTTCTCCTCCAGCGGATCTGGTGCAAGTAGCAACCCATTCTCCAGCAACAGCAACCCGTTCGCCGCGCCCGCCCCCTCTCCTGGTCTAGTCGCCAAACCATCCACCCCGGCATCGACGACCGCCGCCGCTGCTGCCAACACCCTCTCCGATTCCTTCGCCGACAAAGTCCGCGTCTCCTCCCCACCCCCACCGCCCGCAGCATTATCTAAGACCATTACCCCCCCCGAGGAGACCTCCGGCCCTGTCACCCCGTGGCCCGCCGACTCCGACTTCCCGGCCCCGTACCCGCGGTTCTACCTCGATGCCGAGTACGAGACGCTCTCGCGGCCCTCGACGCCGACGATCCCGGACAATGTGACGATCGACAACAGTGAGGACACCGGCGGCGGCAGCGGCGGGGCCGACCTCAAGGACGCCTTCGAGTCCGAGCTGGACAAGGCCTTCATGCGCTTCTCCACCCGGCTGGGCCACAACCCCGAGCAGATTCTGCGGTACCAGTTCCGCGGCAACCCGTTGCTCTACTCGCACACGGACGCCATCGGCAAGCGCCTGCACGAGGTCCTCGCGCACAAGCCCGCCAACGCGCACATCGCCACGACGGGGGGAGCGTCCCTCTCCAGCCGCATCCCGCGCTGTGAGTACTGCGGCAGCGAGCGCGTGTTCGAGTTCCAGCTCGTGCCGCACGCCATCAGTGTGCTCGAGGACGGCCGGGAGGGCGTCGGGCTCGGTGACGCCGGCATGGAGTGGGGGACGATCATGTTGGCCGTGTGTGGCCGGGATTGTGGACCGAAGGAGGTCGGCGTCGTGGGCTATCGTGAGGAGTGGGCGGGTGTGCAGTGGGAGGAGGCTGCTAAATAGATTGATTGATGGATGGATGGATTCCGCTCTACTCTTTTTTTCGTCCCCTCAAATGGGGAGAAAAAGACAAACGGGTGTGAACCTGAAATCCGAACCCTCCCTTCTTCCACCCACTACCCACACCTAACGCTTTACCCATGAATAATTTGATGTTGATGATGACCATATATACTATATACATACATACTCTACCATGTTCATAGACGCCATTGAGCTTTTTGGCCTCGCTGGAAATTCAAATGTATATCCAATGATACATGCATCCAGACACAAGTATCTCCGATTATTATCAAGCATTGCGACAGACAATGCCACTGAATTACGTCTATATGATTGTTGGAGTGATTTCTTTTTGTTTTCCTCGCCTCTTGTTCCTTTCTGCTTTACAATAAAAAAAGGATATCTTGGGACTAAGAACTGAATGCATGGAAAGGCACCGTTGCAACGGGGGAGAGAGACATATTCATCTAGATGTAGATGACGAAGATGGTAATCAACACACGCAAAGCAGCGAACCAAAACTCGAAACGCCGATTGCGCCAGGTTCCTGACTTCCCAGTCCCCCTGTCTCTTTCTAATCCCCACATGTTGGTCTAACCCTCTCCGTTTTTCTTCCCCATGGGGTTTCATCATCATCTTATTTTGGGAGCTTCATGACTCATAAGTCATAGGTGAAGTTCGGATTATGCCTGTCCCAGGTTTTCCTTCTTCCTTCTTCCTCTCGGTGCATCTTTCACAGATGGACCGGGGGAAGAAGGGGAGAAGAAATGAGACGGTTGAAAAGGATCAACGGGGCTAGATCGAGAGCCCCGGATCAACCTTCAAGGCACAAGGAGAAACATAAGTAAAAAGTATTAGCAAGAATGTGAAGGGCGGAAAAAGCGGTCCGAAAGAGAGAAACGAGATTTGAATAAGACGTCACGGTTGCGATTTTTGGATGATTCGAAAAGGGGGGGAAATCCGATGCAAATCCTCGAAATGATGATATTTGGGGACTTTCCGCTCATGCGGCCTGCTCGAAACCTCTGCGGATGACACGACCGAACATATCCACACCCACGCGCTCGCTCTTGACCTCGCTGCGGGCCTCGTTCTCCTTGTTCGTGGGCACCTTGATGACGGCACCGTCGACCTCCCAGCTGCAGACCTCGGCGACGAACTTCTCGAGAGCCTCACGGCTACGGAGGTCGAGCCACTGCTCCAGGACCTCGGCGTTGACCTCACGGAAGGCCTTGCCGACCTCGACGGCGATGCGAATGCGGACAAGCTCCTCGAATCCGGCGACGTCAGCGACCAGATCGGCGTACAGGTCGTCGGAGTTCAGGGTGGACCAGAACTGGGCGTACTGGGCAGACTCCAGGAGGGTAGACAGACGGGCGAGCTTCTGGACGGACTCAACGAAGTCGGAGGTCTGGGCGGCGGCTTGGGCTTCGGGGTTGGAGGACTGGAAGGGCTGGGTGTGGGCGGGGAGCAGAGCAAGGCAGAGGGAGAAAGCGGGAGAAGGGAAGACGGTGAGAGCCTTGACGAGGATGTTGGTGACGGTCTCGGGCTGGAGAAGGTGGGGGTTGAATTGGTAGCTGTTGGATCAAAGACAATTCGAGGAACGGGTTAGCCATGACAAGTACCGTCAAACTCGGCGCGGAGAGCGATGCAGTGTATGGTGAATAGAAGCTTGGGTGGCTTTCATTTTCAGGAGAATTGAGATCTCGACATGCCCCATAGTAGGGTGTCAGGTAATAGGAAACGTGATTGTAAATGAGATTTTCTTCATCATATAAAAACCATTTATTCTTATCCCCGCGTCGGAGCGCTTGGTTCTCGGGAAGGAGGTGCAGTGTGTAGGATAGTGGGCGCATGAGCGAAGAAGGGGGACTCACAGCTTCAGCAGGGCCAAGTTGGCATAGCAATCGAAGGTGCGGTCCTCGCACTGCTGGGCGACGTAGTCCTGGAATACCGTGGTTGTCTCCGGGTTGTATCTGTCGAGGCCGTTGAGGATGGCATCAATGTTGGCCGGGCGGGTCTCGCACTTGTCGAAGGTGACACCCATTTTGACGAAAGTAAGACTTGTGGAGGGAGGGTAGAGGTGGGAGGAAGGGGGTGGAAGAAGGTCGAGTTGGCGAGGGGTATGAATCTGGCCTGGCTGGTGTGGCTGCCCTCTGCCCGTCGGTTTTTGGTGGGTTTTTCGTGATTGTCTCGCTGTGCGGCGGGCATGCCTTCGGAAGGATGCCGAAGGCGGTTAGTTTCTCCGATGCAGGATATGGGCGGTATAACCATAACCGCCTGATGACGGTGACATATGACATACAACGCACGAAATGGCAGCTGAGCCGCCTACATAGGGCTAGAGGAAGGCAAAAAAAAAAAAAAAAACAATGTTATGGAAAGGAGCGATTGATATAACAACATTGTCTCGAACGATAACAAGAAAAAAGAATTGACAAGAGTGGGATTCGAACCCACGCTCTTTCGAACTAGTGTTTCGGAAATTCCTAAAACTAGCGCCTTAGACCACTCGGCCATCTTGCCATTTGATATATGTGGAGACTTTGCTACATGTTCTATATCAGATGCAAAGAATGCACATTGTTCTGCTAGTAGAGCTTCGACAAACACAGTAGACTGTTTGTGCGAAACAGTTACCACATTATTAGTTCCATGACTACTCAACTGACTGTAGTGCCTTTTGAGGACATTGTGATCGACTGAATCGGTGCAGTTAGGCGGATGAGGTAGGCGGCACCTGTGAATATAAATCATGGAAACAGGTCAACGGGGCTTGATCGGTAATCGTCTGTGGACGATACAGCAGTATAGGGTAGCAACCATAGGAGATACCCCTTTACCATCAATGGCTATGGTGTATAACCCACCAGTAAACTACGGGATAAGAACCGTATCACCACCACGCCACCGTTCGTCGCCCCTTAATCAGTGGTCTGACTGGAATACCCGGGCTCCCGTGGTAGGGAATTCCCGCGGTAGGGAATCGCCGTGTAGGGAATCGCCGAAAGTAGGTAGGTAAACCCCGTATATAAATCAAATCAAGAGTAACCTAAACCCCATAGCCTATCCTGCAGGAGCTCCCATGTGCCTAAACTCAATATTACCACCTGCAAGGAACGAAATTTGACTGATTCGTCCTATAGAGCAACAGCACCATCCACCTTCCTGGGAATGAGCCAGCCCTAAACGCGACCAAGCACAACAACAATCGCCAGCATGGATGTCCTGCTTGATATCCTCGACACTTTCGTCTTCGACCAGGTCTACGCCGCAGTGCTTCCGAGCTATGAGATGTATCCGGGCAATGCGACCATGGAGACCCAATTCCTTTACAATCAGCACATCGGCCTTTACTACCCGCTGCAAGCGTCTCAGTATGTCAATGCAAGCCGGTGGAAGCGTGACCATCTCCCAAGACAGGCCCTGTCATTATTCTTCACTATGTGGTAAGCTGCTCTCAACTTAAGCGTCATCGGATCCAGTGGCTAACCAAAATGGTCATGATGAAGGATTTTCGGTGTTGTCGTGTACCTCCTTGGCAGCACGATCCTATACCACACCGTATTCGACAAGTCTTTGATGAAGCATCCGCGAATCCTACACCAGCAGATCCGACAGGAGATCAAGCAGGGTCTATTTGCCATGCCCGTGATGTCCATCCTCACTGTTCCATTTTTCTTGCTGGAAATCCGCGGATGGTCGAAGCTATATGACTTCGCCAGCCAGGAGCCCTTCCCCGGGTATTCCTATCTTCAATACCCGCTTTTCATCTTCTTCACGGACACAGGGATCTACTGGATCCACAGATGGGAGCACCATCCTTCCGTCTACCGTTTCTTGCACAAGAAGCATCACAAGTGGGTCGTGCCGACACCGTACGCCAGCTATGCATTCAACCCTTTCGATGGCTGGGCCCAGAGTCTGCCCTACCACATCTTCCCACTGCTGTTCCCTCTGCAGAAGTGGGCTTACCTGGGGCTTTTTGTCTTCGTAACCTTGTGGACCCTCGCGATCCGTACGTCCCCCCTCCATTGTTGTTAAACGCCATGACCATAACTGACAACCTGATTAGACGATGCTGAATGCCTCTCACGTTCTGCCGTAATCAACGGACCCGAGTGTCACACGCTGCATCATCTGTACTTCAACTATAATTATGGGCAATTCACCACGTTCTGGGACCGATTAGGTGGCACATATCGCAAAGCCAAGGGCGACGAACTGAGGCATAAGAACGAGTAGGAGATATGATGTCGGGAAAGATGGACCAGAGGAGCTGGAATCCAAACCATCGAGGCGTTTCCGGGATGTATGGGCTTTGTTGTATGCTGTACATAGATGTATGATATGAGTACTGTAATTAATAATATGAACATCAATCACGGTGTTCCTTCTTCCGCCGCAACATTATGAATAAACTTATTCAGCCTGCCCAAGTCGTCAGTAGCTGCGGTGTCTAGGTAGCAAAGGCTCTTGTCCCGGCCAGCGGTTCGGTCGAGCGTAGCATTTAGAAGCCACCAAAGCTCTTCTGCATGCTTGGGATAGCCCAGACTTTGTGTCTTCTCTTTGTCGAAAATGCCACCAATTGAATCCCAAATCCGTTTCCAGTTGTCTGCAGCGAGCTTGATAGCGTTCGGTGAGATCCATCCGAGTAAGCCGGTCCTTGCCTGAAACGCTAGGGAGTGCATCGCTGATCCCACATCTTATCAGCGAGGCTGTCATGAGGGGCCAAACAGGCATTACACATACCGTACATCAACACTAGGGTGTGTTCTGCTGCAAGTGATCGGCTCCATGCTACCAACTCACCAATATCTGTGTCGAGTAGGCGGGTGATGAATTGTCTTAAGGTTGGAAGTGAGGTCCGTCCTCCGTTGTCCGAAGTTACAAGCTCGTTAAACGCAGATGTACTTTCGGCCTCGAATAGTGCAGAGTTCCAGGGAAAGTCACAATCCATCTCGAAGATAGACAATGCAGGATGGTTGTTAAAACAGACCGTGAGAAATCCGTCCGCAAGGAAAGCCCAACAGGAAACTCTGAAGGTGTCTCAATAAATGTCTTTGACAGTGGCCAATATTATGGGTGCTTACCGTACAAGGACTTCCTCCGCTATGAGCTTCCTCCAAGTGAGCACATCGCAGATCTGGGGAGTCATACTCCGTTTGTATTGGAAAATGCCCATTGAGCGTATCGTGGAGATGACACACGGGTGTCTTATGATCCGAATGCGCCGTCTTGTTTGCATACTCCCCTGTCCAAATTGAAGCATCTCGATTATCAGGGCTGCTTGAACAACTTCGAGTTCTGGAAACGACTGAGAAAGCTGGCTGATATGAATTGATGCTGCCGAAAGATTTGCCACGCGTCGAAAGATATACTCCTCGGCGACGTCAAGCAGCCCAGGTGGCACGACAGTTCCGTCTTGAGAAGTCGCGTATGTTGCTCCGGCCAAAAAGATTGAGATGAGGAGAGAGTTTGACACATTTCCTGGGTCAAATGTTGGGAAGTGTACAATCGGCAGATGCCAGTGGAGGGATTGAAAATAAGCAGAGATGAAAATTGAAAGATTGGAAGTTGTAAACAGCGGGATTAAGCCGGAGATATCAAGCGGCCTATTTAGGCCCTCACTATCAGGACCCATAGAGTTTGATGTTTCCACCAGCTCTACCATCAGGTCATTCAGTTGCCTGGCAAGCCCGGAAGACAAGGCGCCTTCAGAGGTGAGATCCAGCACCGGATACTGGTTTGCTATGAATGACGGCTGAAAGAACATATCTGCAGCTGCAGAAAAGCTCATAAATGACTGCATGGCGTAGAAAGGGCTGAGTGCATCTTCGAGGTTTAGATGGAGGCCATCGAGGTTCCTTTTGGTAGAGCTTTTTGCTGTTTCTGCGATTGCAAGCTTGTCCTTCACCACAGCTGGGTCAGTGAAGTGAGAGAGAAAGAAAAACGACCTCTTGCTTGCGAGTGAACTGTGCGAGGATACTGGTGAAGGTGGGACTGGCGTCAAGCAGAGAGTTTCTGTAGGCGAAGACGCCACACTTCCGAAAGAACACTGCCGACCCAGGGCTTTACAACGAGAACATGGTGTGTTCTTGTCGCAGGCTGTTTTGGAATAGGTACACTCATCACAGGAGCGTTTCTTCCGGCCAGGCCTAGACGGTGGGGGTGGGGGTTTGTTGTACTTCCTTGCACATATCTTACTATGTCGTCGCGCAACCTCCCTGAACCCTGTCAGACATAACCCATCGACGGGGAAGGGGCTCGGCAGGAATGAGAACTCACTGCTTTTGAAAGGCCTTATTGCAAATAGGACATACTGAAGAGAAAGATTCAGTAGTATCTGGGCTTATTAGCCTCCATGCTTCGGAGTTCCCCGGCTCTCGAGGGGGGAGAGGAGTGCGTACGCGTCGCCTCGTGCCGAAGCAGGTGGCTCTTTCTTTGGTAGGTCTTATTGCAATGCGAGCACTGAAACATGGTGTCAGTGCTGCTGGAGGGACTCGAGTTCTACATAGCCATCGATAAGCTGATAGATCGTCATGAAGACCAGTTTGCGAAAGGGAGACGAGATCGGATTAGATCCCGGTTGGGAAGGCAGCAGCCTTGACTAGCTTAGTCATCCGCACAAACCAACCAAATAACTAACTATAGGTCAGTAAATAGCTTCTCAAGTTAAGCATTAAGTACAAAGTATAAAACTTCACTTCTCGGACTCAGCTTGTGGGGCTTAGGCTGAGAGACATGCTTTCTGGTCGAGCATATGCAAGCAAGCAACACCGTCATTTACCTCAGAATGAGTGAAGTCCTTCGAGGCCGAAGATGATTTTCATAAGCAGCAGTGCAAATTCACCACAAGACCTTTCAGTTGGCCAATTATAATTACTGGTATTAGGAAGAAGCGCAGATTTTCGATTACGTCTATGACGTTTAGTGTGTACTGTATGTGCGTATGTCAAATATCGATACCCTTGCTTCATTAATCGAAATGCGGGGAAGAAGAGAAAACATGACCATTTCGCTCTTTATTCCGACTGTGCCGGTCTAAAGCAAGCAAGCATCATCTTGATCTCAGTGGCCAGTCGCTGCAGCACGTTAGGGATGAAATGCAGGTGTTCCCACGTAGATCGTCTGCATTCCCCTCCCCGGCGGGGGATAAAACTGGAAGGCAGCTCTGTTTTACCCCAGTGAATTTCCCCTCTTTCCTGCCCCATGTTCTTTTTCTCCAGAATCCTCTGGAAGCTGCTTAGTATACTCAGTATGCAATCACTTTGCTTTCCCACCTGCCATCACTTGATAGCTTTGCTATTTGTCCTGGTACCGGCGATTGCTGCTATCCAGGAAGATTACTCCCAATATGTGAATGCCCTGATGGGCTCGGAAGGACCCTTTCCAGGCAAAGGCTATGGAGGAGGCGATATCTTCGTGGGAGGAGCGCGGCCTTTCGGCGTGGCAAAGGTAGGTATCGATACTACGGCTGCAAACTGGAGCCTGGCGGTCCTCAACGGGGGGTGGACGCCAGATGGAAATGTCACGGCGATCAGTAGGTGGACGTGACCACTCAATGAATAGTCCTCAATCGTTGACTAGCATTTCCCCACTTACCTAGCCATGATGCATGAGAGTGGTACTGGAGGCGCACCGAAATATGGAATCATTCCCCAGATGCCGCTCACAAATATTGCGCCTCCAGTGAATCTGCTCAACAATTTGACCTACGCCCAGCCTAGGGTAAGCTGCTTGAAAGAGAACAAGCTCAACGGTCTAGACTCATAAGCAATTCAGGTTGGCAATGATACAGCCAGCGTGGGCTACTTTGCAACAAGATTGCAGAACGGCGTTCAGGTCGAGCTCTCGGCCTCTCGTCATGCTGGAATCATCCAGTATAGCTTCCCCGAGGGCGAGAAGCATGTACTGGTCGATGTTTCCCATGTATGACACCTAGGTCACATATAGCTTCGAACTTCTGCATCGCTAACATTTGCCTAAGTATCTTCCTGGGTCACCCAATGACCCCAATGGGCAATTCTACGTTGCAGGCGAGATCCAATTGGAGGATGAAGGACGAGCTTACTCTGGCTATGGGACGTATATCGGTGGCTGGAACAACGGTGAGTGCCAGCCTGCAACAGTACTCTCTCTGCAGAGAGTCTGATCGGGAACCAGGTGCGCCGTTTACGGTCTACTTCTACGGAGAATTTTCTATAGCCCCAGACACAGCTTGGACCTTCTCAGGGAGGAACACCGAGCCGATGCCGCGTTATCAGAGCTTCGCCAACGGTGGTATCAGTCAGCCTGTATACGGTAACTTGACTAACAAGAAAGCCACATCAGGACCCATGAATGATCGCATTGGGGCGCTCTTCAATTGGAACACGACATTCGGCGCTCAAATTATTTCCAGGGTTGGTGTATCCTTCATTTCTGAAGAAAAGGCTCGCGCCTATATTGAAACAGAGATTCCATCCTGGGACTTGAATGACACGGTGCAATCAACTGTGGAAGAATGGAACCGAGATGTTTTCAGTAAGACTCGGGTTGCATTGGACGAAACAGCGAACATGACGCATGTGCGGCTGCTCTACAGTTCTCTCTACTTTATGCACCTGATGCCGTCCGATCGGACTGGCGAGAATCCTCTCTGGCAGTCGAATGAGCCATTCTGGGACGACTTTTATACAATGTGTCAGTATGAGGAACATTCTTCCGATATCTATCACTAATGTATACAATCAGGGGATATTTTCCGCTGCACGATTAGTTTTTACCATATATATCAACCTGACTACTACGAGTCCATGATTCGAGGTCTGATCGATATATGGAGGTATGATCCCTGGATATGAGCAGCACGGAATAGCCAAGGAAGAGTGGCTCTAATATTTTCTCCCTCCTGAAGGCATCAAGGTTTCCTGCCAGATGGACGCTCAGGAAACTGGAATGGATTGGTCCAAGGCGGCTCCAATGCCGATAATGTGTTGGCGGATGCATACATCAAGGGTCTTCGCGGGGCAATCAACTGGACTGACGGCTATGCCGCCATGAAGACCGATGCGGAGGTGATTCCATACAACACATGGGACCCCACAGACCCATCGGCCAGCACCAAAGAGGGGCGCGGCGCCCTGGGTGATTGGCTCGAGCTTGGCTACGTCTCACAAGATCGTAACACAAGATGTGTATCCAGGACCGTTGAGTACAGCCTAAATGATTTTGCGCTGAGTCAAGTCGCCTCGGGAGAGATGCCCGGTGACCAGGAAAAGTATTTGAATCGGTCCGCTGGATGGCAGAATATATGGAACCCGGATGTGTCTAGTCTGAACTTCACAGGATTTCTGGCACCTAGGTTCTCCAACGGCACGTTCAACAGCAGCACATATGATCCGCGGTACTGCGACAAGTGTGAGTGGCTGGACTATACATATGAAGCCGTACCCTGGGGTGAGTGACATCCATGGTATAATAGAATGTCTACTCAGGCACCTAATGTCTAGAATACTCTTTCGTCATTCCCCATGACATGGAGACTCTGGTTGATCTCATGGGGGGCGTGGACACATTCGAATCTCGACTCGATCTCATGGTAAGATTCCCCCGCCGCCCTGAGGTCCCTGTCTAACTCAGCAGTTTGCGCCAAATATGTCCGTGCAAAGCCTCGGATCGAACGGAGCTGGAATCACGACAATTATCAACATAGGGTACGCATTCTCGTTTAAATCAACAACAGAACTAGACTAATGACTGTGGTTAAGTAACGAGCCGGACTTTGCCACGCCTTACCTGTACAATTACATCAACAAGCAAGCAAAAAGCGTCCAGAGATCGAGGGGCCTCGGATACAAATAGTGAGTACTACAGACTGAGATATTCCAAAGGATACGATTAACGGTCCATGCAGCTTCAACGACGCACTCTACGGCGTCCCCGGCAACAGCGATGCAGGGGCAATGAATTCATGGCTTTTGTGGCAGATGCTTGGGATCTATCCGGTGGTCACCCAGCCCGTGTATCTCATTGCCTCGCCTTGGTTCCCGGATCTCAACATGACCATCAGCGGCAACCAGACACTTCGGATTCTCGCGAATGGCTTGGACCAGGGCTATTATGTGCAAAGCGTGAAAATCAACGGACAGGCCTGGACGAAGAATTGGTTCGAGCACGAGGATCTCATGGCGCGTGGGGGCACGATCGAGTTCGAGCTGGGGCCCAACATGACGGCTTGGGAGACCGGCAGTGTGCCCCCTTCCCCGGGACATAGGAGATTGTGAGTGGGAAAGTTTCCTCTGCATCGGCTACACAAGCCACATATCAGGTGTTTGTGTTGGTACTATTTTAGGAGCACACCCGAGCCATGAGGGATATGTCATATCGTGCACCCTAGAAAAGAAAAGACATCAACCACAAGCATTGGCTAGTGGTTGATGGCGCGACAGGTAAAGTGTTTTTGGTGCTAAGTGGGGTTCAGGACAGATTCCCGAAATGATAGTAAACTACTAGCCTCCAGTTGCTTTAATGAATCTGAACTCGAAATAGACAATCGATCTGATCTAGAACTGAGACTGTGCTACCCATACATCGAGAGCGTAGCGCACACACACACACACATTGTAGTCTAGCATCTCAACAACGCCATCTTGAAGTCCACTTTTTCACAGATGCGGGGAAACCACAAAAGAACAGACGAGATCAAAGCCCCCGTCTGCGCGACTTCATGCAAGTTAGTCCCAAAAACAAGGCCCAAAGCATTACATAGGAGTTTCCTATGTAGTAGTCGGCAGTGGGACCAATGACGCGCAGCGAGGTATCCCGCGGTATCCCCACCACACCCGACACGTGAAGGTAAGCTCATCCATGCGCGCAAGACACTTCGCAGTGCGCAGTGCGCAATGCTTACAATTGATCCCATTGGCAGGCGATCGGAAAGATAAGCCATCCGCTCATCAAGACCAGAAAGCCAAGCCGAGGTTTGTGAGAGGCGGGAGGGGGGACTAACGGAGTTTTGTGAGAGGGTGACCAAGGCCCAAGACGTACGGTTGACGTCAATGGAAACACCAGCCCAGCCGCTGCGGGAACGTATGGACAAGAAGTTGAAGAGAAGAAGAAGAAGATGATGATGATGTTGACGATGATGATATATGGTTCCAATCCCATCCCTCCTGAGTTTTCCTATTAGTTGACTTCCTTTCTTTCCTGGAGGTTGTGCTTGCATTGAGGGGACCATAAAGCAATTGGATCTTAATATCAATTGTGCACGGTACAGTCAGTACAGTACATTGACACCAACCACCACACACCCATGGTAAGTCGAGTCCTGCTGTTCCGTGGATCTCGTCGCGCGGGCGGGCCGAGTCCAATCTTCCATGAACATGACCAGCTGGAAATTGACACCTGACTTTTCCTCCTTCCTCAGGCACCAATCCACCTTCTCCAGAGTCGGGATGACTCCAATTGCCCCAATTCCATCTCCGGGGGTGGCATCGCGGGTATCGTCCTCGGTACGATGGCAGGCACCCTGCTGCTCCTCTGGCTCTGGAAGCTCTGTGCCATGAATCATGAGATGGAAAGCGAGCCCGACTATGGGGAGACCAATCTGCCTACCAACCGAGCGCGCCATCGCCACCGACATCGACGGAGCCCGTCATACTACTATGTGGAGAAACCGAGGAGCTCGGTCAGGAGACCTGCGAAAGTCTATCTCAATTGATGATGGGGAGTGGATGAGGAATGGCAGGAGCTAGGAGGGAAGGAGGGAAAGCTGGGGGAGGAGGGCGAGGAGGGGGAGGTTTAATGTGTTTGTCGAGTTTCGAACCACCTATGGCTACGATGTATGTACATGGATATGACCTTTATGCTATAATAATACCCTCAATGAATCAAATTTAATAAATTGCCCGACATGAAAGATTCACTATCATGATCAGTGATCTGCAAAGTTGTGGTGTTCTTGGTTCTCTTACCAAGTGGGAACAGTTCCATCCTTTCCATTTTTATCCTTCTTGGTCTTTATGCAACCTGTCTGCCTATCTGGGCGAAAGTGGGGTGGGTCGGTACTGGAAAATAGACAGTCCAGCGCCGAGCATGTTCGTGTCGAAGTCGCATCCGTAGGCAGTGACATTAATAGATTAACCTGTCAATGATTGTCCATCGCAACAACTGTAGACACTTTTAGACAGGAGGAGTAGGCATGGCTTGGCACTATTCTGGCTACACGACATCTCCATGTTTCGAATTTATCTGCAGTTGTGTTCCCTTGCCGTGGTTCTGGGAGACTCGCGCAAACCGTTGGGCTGCGGAGGGTTGAAGAGGGGTGGGCAGATCGAATGTTTGTGCGGATGCAAAAACAATTTCAAACACTGATGACAATTCTACCCTTGTTGCTCCCCCCCTTTTCTCACCCCTCACGGCGTTGCAATCCCGATATCTACTGGTACGTACTTAGTAGAAGTACTGAGTTTGCCGCAAACCTACTCTACATGACTTGCCACCAACCAATCAGCCAGTCCAAGTGAACTGCCACGGCACTGACCCTCTGTGCCGTGCTGAGACCAAGAATGGATCCTCACAGGGAGAGTGAAAATCCATGCCTTTAGCTGTGCTTGTTTGGTTGATTGTCCCTCGGGAACCGTGGAGTATATGTGCCTCGAGGTGGGTGGGTGGGTGGGACGCAAGGTCATTCGATGGGCAATTGCAGAGGGAGCTCGGCAGTGGCTGCAGGTACGATACTTGAAGCAACAAAGAGTGCAGTGGCGGTGCCATTGGCTCTTTCTAGGTAGTAAGGAGCACTCATAGCTTCATCATGGATACATAAGTATCATTCCTGGTCGATGATCCCTCGATCAACTCCTGTGCAGCTGCTGTACCGGTGCGCTTATCATTTCAATCAGTTGAACTCTTCCCTTTCCCAGCCAGCAGGTCTCACACTGTGGACTCATCCCGGAGTTGCTGTTTGTGTTTGACAGTGAACCCCTTGTTCCCCTGAAGCAGAACCCTGATTGGTGTACGGATCTATCTTCGGCCTTATTCGACCCAATCATGTTGGTCCAGGGAACAATCCGAGCCCTTCAGTGGTCGTGGGGACGGCACCAAGCTTCATTTGGACTAAATTCAGGGCCAGGGACCACGCTAGCCAACCGAACCAGGGTAGATTTGTGGCATACCAGGCTGTTTCAGGACTAGTCTCCCTTCATGAGTCGGGTGGTTTCCTGTTTGGAGCAGCCCCTGAAATGATTAGGGCCAAAAACTAGTGACATCGACTGCAGACTCGCAGCTTGGATGAGAGACATGCGCCTTGTCCGTGTCTCCAATTCGGGTTTAAAAAAAGAATAACTCATAATTCTAACTATTATGATCGGATAAGAAAAGAGAGAAGGAGGAAAAAGAAGAAGGGTTAAAAAAAAACTAGTCATTGTGGTTGGGGTCAGCTAGTTCCTAGTAAATTAAATGTCTCTTTTTCTTCCCCTCCCCTCCGTCCGTTCTTCCTCCGCATCAGTTCCATCCCTCTTTCCTCTCTCATCCCTTCTTGTGGGTGGTTTTCAATCTCCTCGTGCGACTCGATCGCACTGCCATTCTTTTGAGACTTGACTCTGCCTCTCTCTTCCTCTTCCCCACGCTTTCGGTCACACTCCTTACGGACCGTTAGAGGAATCGATCTCAAACACTCCCCCCCGGGTGCACTGCCAGGAAACGCCCCTTTATCGCACCTTATCTTGCCAGGAAGCAAGCGTGTGTGACCCGCAGGTGTCCTGACTCGCCTCTGCGCCCTTGAATACTATCTTTGACAAAACCAGGGGAACGTACTTCTCAGTATCTGAAGCGTGGTGATCCTAAAGGACGTGACCGTCCATTATGTCTTTCCTTAACCTCCTGGCCCTGATCGTGGCCCAGATTTACTTAGTGGCTGCTCAGACCTCAACCACATGCAACCCCCTCAATGCCACATGCCCGTCGGATCCCGCCTTGGGCACGACTTTCTCATGGCAATTCAACGAGACGCTCGATTCCAAGATCTGGGAGACCACCAACGGCCATGTCGCCATCACCGACGCCGGCGCGAATTTCACCATCGCCAAGAAGCTGGACTCCCCCACCATCAAGTCGACCTTCTACATTTTCTTCGGCGTCGTTGAGTCCTGGGTCAAGATGGCCAAAGGTGGCGGTGTGATTAGCAGTATCGTGTTGGAGTCCGATGATCTGGACGAGATCGACTGGGAGTGGGTAGGCTACAATACCAGCTCAGTCCAGTCCAACTACTTCGGCAAGGGTAACGATACGTCTTTTGATCGCGGAGGCTTCCACTATGTTCCCAACGCCGACACCGAGTTCCACAACTACACTACCTACTGGGATGCCGCGAAACTGGAGTGGTGGATTGACGGCACATTGGTGCGCACGCTGAAGTACGAGGATGCCTTGGACGGCAAGAACTACCCGCAAACCCCCTGCACACTCCGCTATGGTATCTGGCCCGGTGGTGACCCGAGCGAGCCCCACGGGACAATCGTGTGGGCAGGCGGAGAGATCGACTATGATGCTGGTCCGTACAACATGGTCGTCCAGAAAGTGCGCGTACAGGACTTCCACACCGGCAAAGAGTACGAATATACTAACCATACGGGCTCGTGGGAGAGCATCAAGGTCGTAACGTAAGTCCTCCTCGCCATTGAGATATTCCATGACGCACCACTAACTCTAAGACTTCAGGGGTAATTCGACGGCTGCCGTGGAATTGAACAAGGAGCCGGAGAAGACTCTGGCTCAGAAATGGGCCGAATTGCCCACCGGTGCCAAGATCGGTGTGTACGCTGGCTCTGCGGCGGTCGGAGCTATGCTCCTCGCCGCATTCATCCTGTTCTTCGTGCGCCAGCGCAAGAAGGGTCGTCTCGAACACGCATTGGACGACGCCAAGTGGAACACGGAGCGGACAGAGATGGACTCTTTCCAACAAAACTGGAAACAGACTGAGTGGAGAAGTAAATCGGGCTACAAACCGGTATCATAGCCGGGGTCGTCAATCAACTGAAACAGAGTACCCGTCTGCTCGGCAACGAAAATGTTTACTTACACGCTTCGGTCGGAAAAGTCACCATCTCTCTCGGTTCCATATGCAAGGTTTCTTGCGCCTCGACTCCCCAATCGGCACGGTGTCCTCGGGACATAACGGACCAGCCTCGCTCCTGCTTTGCTGGCCAAGGTTGTGCGCGAGCTGTCTTATTGCTTGAGCTCCAGGTGATCGTGCATCTATTCCTGCCACGAAGTTCTTCTCCCGACCTTGGTCGATTTCTTGTTTCTTTTCATCCTGTACACTTTTGCGACGCTTCTCATTTCCTCAATCTTCGTTTCATCTACATTTTCCTCTCTGGATTGTCGAGACTCACAGGGCCAACAAACCTTTACTACTTCCTGTATATACGAATCTATGTGCGTGTGGTCCTATAAGACCCTACTGTTTCCTTCTACTCTTTCTCCTAGACGGGTGTGCGGGAGTTCTGAATTGGGCCAGGCTGCTTTTATTCCGCCCCCATCCTTCCAACTTGATAGACTTTAACAGATTTCCAACTCCTGTTATCTCTTATCTATGTCCAGGTCTGAGCTGGAGGCTCCCTGGTCAGTTCCATGTATGTTTCTGAGTCTTACGGTACTCTGACACTCCGATTCCCCTTATGGCGAGCACTCGCTGTATCGATATCACCTAAGCAAAATGGTCTCACGGTGGGGGCTGCAGAGGCCCCCCCGTTGAGTTAAGCAAGTCCATGGGGATTAATCACCGATACACGGACCTAGGTCTGGGCTATGTTCTGGCCTCGGACCACCTCAAACGGTATCTTAATGTTGGATTGGCTTGCCTGTCATCTGGCTTAGTGGGAACCGCTGAAGATGAAGCAGAGGTGCGACATTGGTGTGGTGAACGAGTGTGCAGGTTGGGGCCGAAGATAGATCGATAAGCCTTGTCTGATATGAACCATGGGCCCTGACTGGATTTCAGACGGCCTGATGTCATGTACTTCGTTCCTCGGTGTGTTCGGACCTTGTCAGCGTATGCCACAAAAGAAATAGCGACAGCAAACAGATAAAGGTGGTTGGTTTGGTTTACTCTGATCGAGAAAGAGACGGTCTCAGAGATAGGCAAAAATCGATCCCGGTGCGACTCGAACGCACAACCTCTAGTACCGGAAACTAATGCGCTACCATTGCGCCACGAGACCAGCTGATGGAGGTATGTCATCCGACTTTGACACCATATTCAAGCTCCACAAATAATCAGTAACTTCTAACGCTTCTCTACTACTTCCTACAACGCAGCGTCACTACAAAATGCCAACCTTATTATCACATTCTTGATCCTCTAATTGAAACATATTCTTATTGCTGTTTTGCAAAAGGGTCTGTCCTATCTGTTTCATCTTCACAGCGGGAGTTGGGGACTTGATCCTGTTGCGGCATAGCATATTATGGTCTCATCGATTTCTTTTTACATATATAACGGTTTGGGAAACTCGCATACCGATATACCAACCCCCACGTAAGAATTGCATAGTAGCTCGGATCTGCGTGAGAACACATACGCAATCCCGACATAGATCACACAGTCCGCCACAGGGCAGAACTTGAAGTCGCACTGATGGTTATGTGGTGGGGCAGGGTTCGTGTCAGCTGAAAGCTGGGGTTTACGTATCAGCTGGCCATAACCTCATCTGTTATTAAATGGAGATTGGGGAGAGTAAGCTTCATGATTCTCTATCTAGTGTTCGACGCAATGGCCGACTTGGGATTGTGGGTGGGAGAGAGGGAATCGGATTTTACTGCGCATGACACTAAGTAGATCTTTCGTAGATAGGAGAGAGGCGCCTCGCTTGAAATACTACAGATACTATGGGCTCTATTCAAGGAAGTGGTATACTTGGTGGATGAGCATCTTGCGTCATATATACAGGAAGGCAAGAGGGAAGTCAAGAATGCTATAGTCGAGGAGGACGTCATTCCCTCCAGAAAGAGAATGGACCAGTCTACAAAAAGAATACCAGACTCGAGACCAGCAAGTTGCATTCCAGTGCAGTAATCCCTAAATCAACATCACAACCCTAACAAGCAAAGTGATACACCGTACACCGTATCATCCGAACTCCAAGACACTCCTCTAAAAGACATACATCTCCCTTTCCAAGAAGACTCCGACCCATAACGATTTACCCCCAAACGCCGTCTCATTAACCCCTCCGCAATGCAGTATATCGTATATCTCCATGATAGAACCTCCCCTCCCTTACACCTCCCTCTCCCTCTCTTCCCCCCCATAACTAACCTAATTAGTATCCAACTCACTCAACCACTCAAAAAGCTCGCTGCGGGCCCTATCATCGACCGTACGCAATTCCGTCCACAGCTTCTGGATATGGTCCCACATGCCTTGCATGAAGGTGCCGGCCCAGCGGATCTCCCTCTTCCACTCGCCGACGGCCGCGTGCACCTCGGACCGCAGAGTGGCGAGCTCCGCGCGCTGGTGGGCGACCTCGTCGCGCAGGAGCTTGTTCTCCTGCTGCAGGGTCTTGTGCGCCTGGATCAGGGCGTTGTGGTTCTGGACCAGGGCGGTGAGCTGGCTCGTGAGCTGCTGCTTGAAGATGCCGAACTGCAGGCTCTGGGCGCCTAGCTCGGCGCGGAGTTGGTCAATAGGGGTGTCTTCGTCGTTCTTGGGGGGATGGGTTGGGGCGTGATGGCTTAGGTGCTGGCCCTGATGGTGGTGCCTTGGTGCGTGGGGCGGCTGGTTGGACATCTTGGCGGTGATGTTTGAGGTTTGCTGGGTAGACTTTGTATGGTAATGATGGTTGTGGTGGTGGTGGTGGTGAGAGGTCGAAGAAGGTAATGACAGAAAGATAGTCGATGTTCTGACTGGAGTGTGGGGACTCAGGGCGTTGATTCAATAATGATGTTGTGTGGTCTACGCGATGTCATAAAGTTCGACTCAATGCTGGTCCTACCGGATTAGACAATGCTGAATTGATCAATGCCATATATCCCATTGTGTCATGATGAGGATACAGCTAATCTTAGCCTGAACCCTTCACTGGAACTGTCGTGCAAGCACTGTTGTATCTGGATGAACTCCACTGAGTGGTTGATACTGTAAAATGTACCATTCAAAAGAAGTCATATTCGCCCTGTTTGTTCATGATGCCGCTAACTATATCTCTCGAGAAACTGGTAGCCTTGTCTCGTGGCTATATGTATCGCTGTTCATTGTCTGACATCATCTATCCTTCGAAAGGAGTCTCATAAGGAGCCTCAGCCTGTGGCGTAATTCTAGCGAGGTGTCGTCTCTGACCATCCGCCCAGTCAAAAAGCGCACTATGCGCGGCCACCCGGTTCTGTGATAGTCAGTCTTGTCAATCTTGGGTTCAGTTATAGAGTGGTTCAGAAGCACTTACATCCCAAACAACAACAGTGCCAGGACGCCAGCGGACCCGTGTCTGGATATCTGCAGACAGCGCAATGTGGTCGTAGAGGAACTTCAGCAGGAACTCCGACTCCTCTTTCTTGTATCCCACAATGTAGCGAGTGACTGCAGCTTGGTTAATCTCTCATTTCTCTGTGATACGCATGGTGTTTTAAAACTTACACTGTGGGTTGACGAACAGCGCTTTCTCTCCAGTAACCTAGACAGCATGTTAGAACACATACATCCACAGATCTCATCCTTCCCGAGAATAAACCTACTGGATGAGTCCGGACAATGGGATGCTCAGATGTGATTGGGTCTCGTCGTGCAATGCCGCCCTTGTTGAGGCTGTTGTTGACCTGCTCAATACCAGAGTGAACTGCCTTCAACCCGTGCAGCCTCTTTCGGAATTCGGGCGAGAGGCGTCGGTATGCCTGTGCCATATCCGCGAACAAAGTGTCTCCTCCAGTTGACGGTCCGTCCAGGAGATACAGGAAGGTGGTGCCCGGGGGCTGCTTCTCGAACGTTACATCGGAGTGCCAGGTGATAGAGTTTGTGTGTGTGGCGAGAAAGTCGGCACCGCTTGTGTCATCAGCTCCGCGGTGAACGAGATGAATCTCCGGATAGCCCTTGGGGGCGCCAGATGTCTGGTGGATGTGGTGTCGGCCAAAGTAGCCACCCCATTCGAGGGCTTTGTCGATAGGAAGATGCGCAAAGTCCTGGTCCCGGAAGGCTTGATGAGGCCCGACATCAGCACAGGTCCTCGCAGAATGGCGATGACCAATAGTCACAACTCACCGACAACCTTTCTTTGGGCGACGAATCGAGCCAGTTGATCCTTGCCTTCCTTCGTCAGCTGGCTCAGCTGGACACCACGGACTTCACTGCCAATGGTGGGAGTGAGGTCATCCACTTGAGCTTTGTCCTTGGGCAAGAGATCAGCAAAAGAGAGGTCTGCATCCTTGCCGTGGTCATAGTGCTCAAATGGTTGCAGAGGAGGGTATCTACGAAGGTCAGCGAGGGTCAAAAGGCGGCCATGAATTAGGGCCGATGCCGAACCTTTCTGTCTCGTTATCCCAGACGGGGAGGTAGTTCGGGAACGATGCGGGCGGCTGCTTCTCTGTACCCTGGACTTCGTCGTCATGCTTATAGACCTCTGCATAACCGATCGAGTTCTCTTTGTTGAAGCCCGAATCGGTCTTCAGGTGGGACACCGGCTTTGCCCGGAGAGAAAGGGTTGAGGTCTCAGTAATAGATGGTGCCATGATATTGGTTTAGAATGGGTTTCTTCCTTCTTGGGAGGGACTTTGATTTGGGAAAGAGTACTGTACGTTCTGGCATATATAATCGCCATCCTTCTTACGAAGACTTGATGCGCCGTCACGCAATTCCTGCGGGGTACGCATGGCCGAGTGACTTCCGGCAATTACTGGTTCGCAAAGGGGGTGCGAGGTACCAGGTTAGGTACAAGGTTTCGAACGATAACGACATATAGGCATCAGTGCTCGTCTCGAGGAGGATTGGCGGACGTTGATCAGATAATGTGAGAGGCGGAGTCATGGCCCATTGTCGGTCTCCCTGTCGTATAATTAGTAAGTCAACCCTCACCAGAGTTTGTTCCTGTTAAAAGTACCCCATACACAATGGCAGAACTCGGTTAACCTTGAACAGTGCCAGAGAATGAGACTGTGTTCCACAGGGTTGACGTTGGCTGAGGCAAACGTGGTTTAGTGCAGCATGGCGTGATAGCCATGGTCCCTGGCGCAACTTTCCCCCTCCAAAGCTCAAACAAGCTCAACTCCCCACCTGACCCGCATTCAGTCATAGAGATCGCCCTCATCTTATGAGAGGGATGAAATTAGAAGGACATCCGTTTTGTTTGGTCAATGGTCAAGATATTGCCCGCGGTGTAATTGTAGACGAGAGAGGGGTCGAGGCAAGCACATCTTTGCCGGGGCGCATCGCAGTTCACTGCATCACTGCATCTGCATTGGCCTTGATTAGTGCGCGAAGAATTCTGCCGTATACTTGTACTATGTATACTCGCTTCCAATCAGCATTGAAGGAGATGTTGCCATATTGCTGACGAAACGTATCACCATCGACCAGTGCGATGGTGAAATCGTGGGATTGTAAGGCAGGGAAGAGGCGTGGAAGTACCGACTCGGTAAAGCGTAACTTAGCCACCGCCTGAGCGATCCCGGCCCATTAAGGCCCCGCCGCGTCTTCGGCCGTTTCCCGCAGCGGAGATCGAACACTAGACTTGAATCCTACTTAGTACTACTCCACGACTACTCTACGACTACTTCACACTAACAACTACCGGACTCTCTTCTTCCTCTGACTTGTTCCCCATAACGTCACTTATGCTTCGTTTGCGTGATCGCACTTAGGACACCCCATGAGACTGCAAGACATCGAAGAATGTATCATCGCCCATACCCTGACGGCCTGACCTCGCCGCCATGGCTGCGCTTAATGTTGGTCTCGACGCAAGAGCCACCCTACCACGAGCTGTTTTACTCCAGAGCTTATCGCCCGAGATGCCTGGAATTTTTTCTGGACCATTAAGTTCAAGCCATGATTGGCTACGTCAATCTTTCCACAGAACATCATCTCGCAGTTAGCCTATCTGCTTATATTGCCGAGAGATTGCGTGATGAAGCTTTAAGCTCGCCTGTTTGGGATGAAGCATATCAAAAAGCTCATTTGGGCCTGCGCTCGTTCTTTAAATCTCCTCGACTGTCGCAAACAAGGGCCTTCATATCTTGCCTCTAAGTAATCAGCTTTTTTTCCATTGGCAAGATGGGCTCAGATAATGTTCACGATATCCCCGTGGACACAGTCCCCGCGGGCGATGACACTAAAAAGAGCCCCGTGACGGCAGTGGCATCAGGCTCGTCCACATCATCCCTCGAAATTGCTGCCGTGCAGCGTGTCAAAGGGGGCGGCGCATTTGACACCTCAGAGGATCCTCGGTACTATAAGCCTATCCCGGAGTATGAAGGCATACATCGTTGGGATCCCTACTTTGAGTGGACGGAAGAGGAAGAGAAGACCCTGGTCAAGAAGGTATTTCCAGACAGCGCTTCTCAATCAGCGAATAGAGCTAATAAAAACCAGATTGACTGGCGAATTTGCACTTTTGCATGCGTGACATTCTTTGCGCTCCAACTCGACAGAGGCAATGTCGTCCAAGCCAATTCCGACACCATGCTTGCGGATCTGGGAATGAATACCAATGACTACAACAACGGGCAGACCATCTTCCTTCTCACATTCTTATTTGCCGAGCTGCCTTCGCAGTTATTATCCAAGAAGGTCGGGCCAGATCGCTGGATCCCCTTCCAGATGGTTTCATGGAGCTTGGTTGCTGCATGCCAGGCCTTCCTGAAGAATAAGACCGGATATTTCGTCTGTCGGGCCCTTCTGGGACTCCTAGAAGGTGGATTGTAAGACAAAGTCGAATTCCAAGGTTGATCTTTTTAGCTGACTGTTATTAGCATTGCCGACACTATTCTCTTCCTTTCCTTTTTCTACAAATCTAAAGAGCTACCAGTCAGACTCAGTTATTTCTGGGTCTCTTACGAAGCTACTGCGATTGTCAGCGCTTTCCTAGCGGTTGGCTTCCTTCATATTCATGACACTGATGGTAAAGGTGGCTGGCGGTACCTCTTCGCATTTGAAGGTCTAATCACTGGAATCATCGGAATCATCGCTATCTTCTGGATGCCTGCATCACCAACGCAAACAAAGGGTGGCCTCCGGGGTAAAGACGGCTGGTTCAACGAACGCGAAGAGAAGATTCTTGTCAACCGCGTGCTGCGTGACGACCCTAGTAAGGGAAGTATGCACAATCGGCAGGCTGTATCGCTCAAGATGCTTTGGACTGCTCTATGCGACTATGATATGTGGCCGATCTATTTGCTCGGTCTGACATGGATGATTCCTAACACGCCTGCAACAAACTATATCACCCTCGAGCTTAAATCACTTGGCTTCGGTACCTTCCAGACGAACCTTCTCACCATTCCTGCCTATGTTATCTTCATTATTAACCTTCTGTTCTGGACTTGGATTTCCGAGCGCTTCAACCAGCGTTTGTTGCTTGGCCTCGTCATGGAATTCTGGTGCTTAATTTTACTCATTGCACTAGTTGCTCTTCCGAACGGGGCCAGCGCATGGGGGCGATGGGCCATTCTGATTCTATTGATTGGCGCCCCTTATATTCATGCTATCATTGTGGCCATGACGTCCAGAAATGCAGGCTCAGTCCGGACACGAACGGTCGCTAGCTCTGTGTACAACATGATGGTGCAAGCGTCCAGTATCATTGCCAGTCAAGTGAGTTACGCCTTCAATACTTAGCCTGTGGTGAAAGTCAGCTAACCTTTACCAGATCTATCAAGCGAAGGACAAGCCATACTACCATACTGGCAACAAAGTACTGATTGCCATGGCCGTATGGAGTATATTAGTGTTTATTGGGGCCAAGCTCTACTACATTTGGCGTAACAAGTAAGCTCACCCAACGTCACTGTCTGATTATTATGCTAAGACTATAATCCAGACAGAGAGCCGCCATATGGGACGCTATGTCCAGTGCCGAGAGAGAGGCATACCTGGCCGATGTCGCCGACAAGGATCTTGGTAACAAACGGTCAGACCCCTGGGCTATTCTCATTGATTACGAATACTTTTCTAACGGCCCCGCAGCCTCGACTTCCGATTCACCCATTGAGCCCTCTTTCATAGTATATACCTTACGAAGCGCCCACACATATCGTTTCTCGGGGAAACTCTATGGAGTTTCACTGGGTTTAATGACTTAAAAATAGATGAATGATAGATAGCATCTCATAGAAACGAAAATTTCAATGGCCCATGTCTAATACCAATCAAGCAACTGCCTAAGCACAAGCACACTAAGCACACATAGAAGTCTGGACTATGATTCACTCCATCAAAGTGCGAATCAAGGCAGATGACCGCGGTTGAAGAGCGGATAAGCAAGCAGGGTGTCTACTAGTTAACTTTGGGGCGGCGGAGCTGATAAATCAGAGATGACTTCCCCACCATAAATAAGCCTCCTCCGCGTCATAGCATACTCGAATGAACTTCAACTGATAGCAAACTAGGTGACGTACTGTATCTCGAAAATAAAGCAATGTCGACTTCAAGCCCGATCCACTTCTTCGACATTAAGTCGGCCCTCTCTGGTGAGTCACAGAGAGCCAATCTTCATTTCATCCACATCACAACAAAACAAAACAAGCAACACATGCTAACAGACCACCAGGGTCGGCGCGGGCCTGGTCCCCCAACACCATCAAGACCCGGATGGTCCTCAACTACAAACAGCTGCCCTACACGCAGACATTCCTCAGCTACCCGGACATCGCCCCCTTCCTCTCCCACAAGGGGCTGCACCCTCAAGCGGAGGGCCGACCCTACACGCTGCCCGCCATCTGCCACCCGGCCTCCCTCTCCGCCAGCCCCTCGGGCACGCTGATGGACTCGCTCGCCATCGCCACGCACCTCGAGCAAGCCTTCCCTACCACGCCATCCATCTTCCCCTCCGGCGACGCCAGCTACGCGCTCGCGCTGGCCGTTAGCAAGCTCATGGGCGCCGTCTGGATCAACGCCGTCCCCTTGGTCGTCCCCCGCGTCGCGGACTTCCTGGACGCCCGGGGCCGCGAGTACTTCATCAAGACGCGCTCGGCGCAGTTCGGGAAGCCCCTCTCCGAGGTCCGGCCCCGGGATGCCCGCGAGGTGGAGCGGTTGCTCGACGCCATGAAGCGGGACATGGCCGTCATCGTGATGATGCTGCGGGGCCGGCACGGGAACAAGGAGGATGACACGAGCGGTGGCGGTGGCGGCCCTTTCTTTGAAGGGAAGACCCCCGGGTATGCGGACTTTCTGGTCGTGGCTGTTCTGGCGTGGTTCCAGCGCGGGGATCGGACGGTTTGGGTGGAGATGCTCGGGGTGGGGAATGGGGAGGTCAGGGCGCTGTGGGAGGCTTGTTTGCCGTGGGTGGAGGGACAGGGCGAGGAGAAGGATGAGTCGGATTGGGAGATTCCTCGTTGAAAGTGTTTCGCTTGCTTTCGGAAAGTCATGGAGGTGCAGTGGAGGGTTTTGAAGTCGCTCCAAGTGAAGCCTGCGTCTGCAATAAGTGAAAGTGTTGAAAGCATTCCATTTCGCGCCTGGTTCTTGGGAAATAGTACATGATAAAAAGAAATGAGAATATGAGTTACAAGGAGAAATATCTCTCTTCCATACGCAGTCACCCCCCGCCTCCCCAGCCGTCCAGCCCTTCCCCGGGTTGCCAATACCATTGTACATTGTGGGTCGTAAGTCGGGACAGTATCGACCGACGTGAAGAAAAGCCTCCCACCGAGAAGATCGCAGATTCGCCAAAGATACACAAGATAAATTTTTTACAACCCGCGGAGGAAGTTGGCCTCTCTGATGCTCTTTCTCCGGGCATCTCTCGCGCTCCGGGTGATCTCGGTCCGCTTCTCGAGACTCTCGGAGGCGACAACCAGAGTATCCTGGGCCTCTGCCTGAGCGCGGTTGTAGGCGGCGGGTGTGATATCGTTGGCCTGTTCGTGGATCGGGATCACGGGAGGGAGGTTCGCGGCGCGGGCAGCCATCTTCTTCTCGTAGCGCTTGCGCTGCTTCTTGTTCAGGGCTGTGATGGCGGAGAAAGAAGCACGGTGTTAGTCAAGGAGAACCGAAGCTGGAGACGATTGTTGTAGCACTGGTTATTAGGGGTCCCTTACTGCTTGGATCAACGCCACCCTGCTCGGTCTTCCCCTTCTTGCCCTCATCCAACAAACCCCACAGCCAATCGGGGTACTCCGAATCCTCCAGAGCGAGCAGATCAGGCTTGTTCTTGAAGTAGTTGAGCCCGTTCAGTTTCGTGCCAGCAAGGCAGCTGCTCGGTGGACGCTCGACGACCTTGCGGGCCTTGCCGGGGTGGACATCACTGTGGACGCCGTCCGTGGGGGTGCTCAATGGTTGTGACACTCCAGGGGTGGCGGAGGAGACGGCGGACGCGACGGTCACGTCGCTCACGCCAGGCTGTCGGGGCTTGGGCGGCGGCGGTGCGGCGGACACGGTGGGCTTGCCGTCACTGTAGTTGCGGAACTGAGCCCGCTGGATGGGGAGAGAGAGCTGGCGCGCGCCAGACAGGGCAGGCGACGTAACCGTGTGCTGCTGGAATCGAGACAGGATGCCGGTCCGGCATCGCTGGCAGATCATTTTGAGATGTGAGGTCTGGAAGGTTTCGGCTGTACTAAAGACAGAAAGGATGAATGATAGTAGCTCGGTCACCGGAGTCGTGATAAGCCGTCCTCAGCCCCAAGACAAGCCGTGCACGCTGAATCAGAATGCTGTGTAATGGAATCCTACCGACCGGCACGCAGTGAGAATGCACTTATCGAGAAAACTGCGGCATGAATTTGATGCCAAGCCGGAGGTGAGCCGACACGTGACCGTGTCACTCAGTATTCAATAACTTACCAACTATTCCTTGGTCCAAACAGCCTGTGTCTTTAGAATAGGTGAAGTTTTCGACGAGAGTTGAGCTCAAGAGGAGCTTTGTGTCTAATGCCCATGATTTCAACGAAGTCTGAACTGCGTCCTGCGCACCTGCTAATAGCTCAATCATCAGTATTTAAAAATCATGTGATTGATGACTCAGTCGGGAATCCGACCTTCGCGATAAACCGATACAGGCAGCCCGGCGAATATACTTCACCTCAACCGTGTTCAGATCCGTGACAGTCCTGCCAGAACACATATCATGCCTCTGAGGTCACTCGCGGCGTCTTATCTGCTTGGTGATCTTGACTCTGGTCAAACTTACGAGATGTCTCTCGTTTTTTCGAGTATCATGATTCTAAATGCAGATACTCATGGTTTCGAGTTCGGCAAGACGCGTTCTTACTATATATGTTAGCTTGCCATCAACCCGAGTTTGATGTTCGCTCTACTCTTATTTGAAATCCCATCGCTTTTTGAACGCTCCCATAGTCAAGCATTGCATTATTCTTACAAAACAATTCCGAGTGCGACGAATGCGGCTACTTCGAGCTATCTTGGAACCCAAAGTGACATTCGACAGATAAGGAACCCGCGCATTCCACTGGCAGGTAATCTGCGGCATCTAGAATTGACGGCCATGTCAATGGATCCTGAGCACTTGTCGATGCACTACTGCGTTCTAACGGCAGAGCTGGGGCATGCTCCAACCGTCTAGCAGTCCCACTGTCCCTGTCACCGCTGCTCCCGCGCGGACGATTTCCGTCCGCAGATGGATCCTCGACTTCCCTGCCGATATCGACTAACAGGAAATGTCAACGAACATTGCAGGAACCGAGCATCATGCCATCCCGTCCCTGGTTGCCTCGTGCATTATCACTCACATCCCATGCATGTCGACTGCCGTTATACCTTTGCCTCCTTGTCGATGCCTGCAACTGCGTCCCGCAAGAAGCAAATTACTGGAGAGAACAGGGCAGAGCTAAGGCAGGCTGCGCAATCTCTCCGGAGTTCACATATTGCTTGTCTGACAGTTAAGCCTTCTATTGGTTCTAGACATTCTCGCTGTCAGCGCTAGTCTCTGATGTTCATCTCCAGCATGATCGTGTGAGCAGCGCTATCTAGCCTCGAAGGTCTGATAAGAACATGATAAACCTCCCCGGAATGCCTTCCTTGCTTGACTGCGCCGCACCTAAACATATAAAGAGCAGGGAAGACCTGCAGAGACTGCGTCTACGTCGAAAGATGAGCCGTTGGCAGGCAGTCTGACTAATCATTCACCCGAACGTCCATTCCTTCCGCTCTTTTGATCGCCCATGCTTCTCACTGCCCCTCATCCCCCCTCTCTATCATTACCCAAGGTCTCCTGATCTCTTCAATGATATGATACGTATGCTTGTCGACGGCTGCAGCAAGCATACTCATTCCGTGACGGCATGGGTCTCCTCTTCTCATGCTCATAAAGCATGATAACAGATTATAGCGTCCTCGAGCCATATGGGACTAACTCCAAGGCAAAAGTGTAACATTTGTCAATCTACTAACACTACAAATGAAAGGAACGTGGAAGGCATCGCACTCAACGAACCTCTTCGATTGCTTGGAACAGAGTCAGATGTCAAGTTTAGTGGTTTCAAGTGCGTACTATGTGATGAGATGAAAATAGCGAATGCGTTCGTCTCTATCATGCAAAAATATCACGAGTTGCTTGAGGCTGTCGAATTATGTCCCAACACACGAACAGGAATCATGGGGATATACGAAGAATCGGTAACCGAAGGAAGATTATGACGGTCACAGGACGATAGACGAAAGAATCATGAAAGGCAAAACCCAAACCAAGCGCCACATAGATGAAACAGGGTGATTAAAACAGTATCCGGGCCTATGCAGAGAGGCCACTGACATCAAGGAAATTACACAAGCTCACACATGCATCTTTCAGCGTCTTCTCAGTTTTCCACTCGAGCTCGTTCTGTGACCTAGTTGCCACTGCAACGCACGAGCCAACATCACCAGCACGACGTCCAGCCGCTTTCCGGGGAATGGGCTTGGAAGACACGCTTTCCATGGTGCTTACCACCTCCATCACAGAATGACCGCGCCCCGTGCCGAGGTTGAAGGTGCGGAAGTTCTCAGCCAACTTGCCTCCATTGGCGGCACTGAGAGCAGCGATGTGCCCTCGGGCGAGATCGGTAACGTGGATGAAGTCGCGGACGGCAGTGCCGTCCTCAGTGTCCCAGTCTGTGCCGAACATTTGCAGTTCCGCATATTGCCCGGTCATGACTTTGACAACCACCGGTAGGAGATTGGTGGGTATTTGGCGGGGATCCTCGCCAAGGAGACCTGACTCATCGCATCCAATTGGGTTGAAATACCGGAGAGCGACAATGGTCCATTCTGGATCGGAGGCCGCGAGGTCTGCTAAGATGGCCTCGCAAATCCATTTAGTGCGGCCGTAAGGGTTGGTGATGCCTGTGCAGCCGGCCTGGACAAGTTGCTCGGATCCGTTGTGGTCCATGAAGGTCTCGTCTTTGTGAACGCAGAGTTCCTCTTTCAGCGGCAGGCCAGAGGTGGCCAAGGTACCATACACGGTGGCAGAGGATGAGAAGATAAAGGTCTTGATGCCATAGTCACCCAAGGTGGTAGCAAAGTCGATGAGGCCACTGACATTGTTCGCATAGTATTTCAGAGGGTTCTTGATGCTCTCTTCCACTGCTTTGTAAGCAGCGAAATGGATGACTCCGGCGATTTTGGACTTGGGGGAACCCCATCTGGATTGGGTTTGGTACTGGTCGAGAAGCTCCCGAAGAGCTACAGTATCCCGGAAATCATGAGCGTGCAGCTGCAAGGAAGGCATGCATGTTCCTTGTTGCTCATGATGCTTGGACGCCAGCAGCTTGATGCGGTCGAAGACGCTCTGGAAGGAGTTGCTGAGATTGTCGATCACTATTACATTATAATTGGCTTTGAGTAGCTCCAATGTTGTGTGACTTCCGATGAACCCGAGACCCCCTGTAACGAGGATGTACTGATCGAGGGGGAAGTTGCGCAGCAACTCCTCGAGATTGCCATCAAACAAGACGGATGACTGCGTCGCTGGCGTATCCACGAAGCCCGGGGAGTTGGGCTCCACCGGAGTGCTTGCATCGGACTGTCGAGGGCTCTCCATTATTGGCAATGAAGGAGGGCGGGGGTTTGGGAAGATGGGAAGTACAACTTCGAAGGTGAAGCAGATCAGGAAGCTTTGGTCAGACAATGACAAGGAAACGAAAGACTTTTATTCGAGAGAGGGTTCGTTCGATGACGGTGGGTGACTCCGAACAGGATCGTGATGAGATCAAAGACAGGAGTTCCCAAATCTTATACTCTTTTGAAAGAACGAGTGGCGGCCCTATGCTATGGTTCTCCGATGTAACCGCTGCTGAATCTGGCCAGCTAGGTTGGGCGATGATATCGTGATCGGTGACTTTGCTTATTTACAACCAGGGAACATGGCCATACGAAGCGAATGGATATCAGAGAAAGGAAGCAAAAGACGAGGTGTAAGAGGAGGATGGCCAAAGAGAAATATTAATTATAAAAAAGAAAAGAGGATGGACAAGAAAAAAAAAAAGGAATAAAATAAATTGGATAGGAATCGGGGAGAGCGAACGATGGTACCAGAGGATCTGGAAGAAGCAGAAGACAAGAGAGAAAGAGTGGAAGAGAAAAAAAAAAGTAAATATAAAGAGTCGACGATGTCAGCGAGAGATCTTATTGGGATGGAACAATCGGGCCTAGACGAAAGACTGACTGACTGACAGAGTGCGTGAGTGAGTGATTCGGTTTGACTTAGCCTTCAGGTTGGTTGGAATCTCGCCTCTTTGGTGATTATTTTTATGGTTATTTTTAATTATTTTTTTATTATAATGGTTGATGACTTGGGACTGGACTCTTCGATCGAACTCTAGACGCCTCCACAGAGACTTGCAGCAGCAGCAACAACAATCAGAGCAAGAGCAAGAGGAAGAGCATCAGCAATTTCGAGCACATCATACATCACCGGATATCCACCGATACGAAACAAGAGAGTACCAGAGTACGGGGAAGACTACCAGAGAGGAAAAGGAAAAGGAAAGGGAAAGTACAGTAAGTAGGTAAGTAAATTGGATGGAGAATTGAAAAAAGCAGGGGCGAAACCAGAAAAAGAAAAAGAAATTGTTCCAGCAGCAAAGCAGAAACAGCAGCAGAAACAGCAGTCGCAGTCGCAGTCGCAGGAGTAGTTGCTATTGCTGCTGGTTCTTACTGCTATTTTGCTGCTGCTTTGCTGCTGCTTTGCTGCATGGGCGAAACCCTGCCCCGCTCTATTTTGGGCTCGCGCGCGCCATTCATCTCTTTTTGCGCTTTACCTGCTGTGTTTTTTTTTCTTTACCACACGCCCCCAGTCCCAATTCCCTTACTCACCCACTCACTCACTCACTCACTCAATCAGATCAATTTACTCTTTTTCTCACTCAGCACCAGTTTATTTGGTTACGTTTAGAAGGCTGACTAGACTACTACTTAATTCTAGTCCTTCAAGGCCCGGTTCTGCCGCAACTCCGCTATTATGGAGCAGCCCACCAGCCCACTTCTACCACCATTACCACCACTAGCCAGAACCCACTTCTAAGTGCAGTACTAATTTGGCTTGCCCGCAAGTGTTGGTGCGCACGGTTTCAGCTATTCTGCTCCTGGTTCCATCATAATCACCCACTATCGTTGTTCATCATGATGGGGCAAGAAAAGCACGTGAGAGACCGCCGCTGTCTCGCCAGTACACGCTCGCGAGTTATCCTCGCCGTCTTCGTTATCATTGCCATCCTCGCCGTCGTCATTCCACCAGCAGTTGTGGTCACTCTACACAAGAAGAACAGCATGGGTCCCAAAGCTTCGGTTTTTGTTCCGCTCTATGTGTATCCTGCTCCCGGAGCCTGGGATCCGCTAGAGAAAGTGTACGTTTTTGTCCGGTCTTCATGCTTCTTTGAGCGTTATCCCAAATCGACCAAAAAAAAAAAAAAAAAAAAAAAAAAACCCACCCCCCCCCCCCCCCCCCCCCCCCCTGCCAACCATACATACGCTTTCCCTGGTCCATGCTCGCTTGCCCCGTGGCATGATACAGGTAACTTCAATGTATGACGGACTCAGCTAAGCGCCACAGGGTCTCTACACATCCCGACGTCAACTTCACGGTGGTGGTCAACCCCGGTAGCGGCCCTGGGCCCGATGCCTTGCCTGACGCCAACTATACCCGGGAGGTTCCTAAGCTCGCTTCCTATGACAATGTTCGTCTACTAGGTTATGTCGCTACCACGTACGCCAATCGCAACATCTCGTTGGTGCGCCGCGACATCGAGACCTATGCGGCGTGGCCGACCAACAGTTCCAACCCCAAGCTTGCGGTTCGGGGCATATTCTTTGATGAAACGCCTCAGCAATACGATGCGAATTCCTTGGCATATCTTCACGAGCTGACGGCCGTGGTGAAGAGCCATCCTGGCCTTGGGCCGGATAATTATGTACGTGAGACGTTTCTTTCCGTTTTCCACGTATTTTCATTACCAGCCGGCCCGGGGACAATGTCCCTCCCCATACATGGTTACTTACATAACTTTCCTTACCAAAATTCCGGTTCCCGGTATCTTGGAGACGGCTCCACCCCTCTATGATTTTCCTTGCTCCACTGTCCATTTTTTGGTCTTTGCCGGTTGAATATTTTTTTTTTCTCCTCTCATCGAAGGAGAAAAAAAAGATCATCGACAACGCAGAGCTCATTGTTGAATCCCGCCCCCTTTGTTTCTTTTCGATGACCCGAATTTCCACCCGGTCCGGATCGGATCGCCGTTTGGGCTGTTCAGTGTTGTTTCTCTCCCTTGAAAAAGATGGATGGGAAAGAGAGAAACTCGGCTAGTTTCTAGCTCGGCTCGAGCCTAGTCCAGCCCAACTAGCCTAGCCACCTGCGTTGTTTCTTTCAATCGTTCGCTATTGACATTTCGCCGTTCGTTTCGTGACTAACATCACTCGTTTTTCGCCGCTTGTTGTCCAGGTCGTCCACAACCCCGGCGTGATTCCTGACTCCCGGTACCTGAGCACCGCTGATTCGACCGTCGTCTTCGAGGCGACTTACCAGACCTTCCTGGACCGCCAGGGGGCTAAGCTCTTCCAGGAGATCCCCAACAGCACGCGCCAGCAGCTCACGGCCGTCGTGCATTCGGTGCCTGCCAGCGTGGAGGGCTCGCATTTCCGGAACCTAGTGAAGCAGGTGCGCAAGGTCGCGGATGAGGTGTTCATCACCCATCTCGATACGAATTACTATGCCAGCTTCGGGAGCCAATGGGAGCAGTTTGTCGATCTGATGGCGAAATAATGAGAGTTGCCTTTGACAGGCATCTGTGATAGTGTTGCGCATCTGGTTTAAAAAAAGGGCTGGTCTAGTCTCTGCTGTCGTTCTACAGTTCCTTCTATCATATATTTGGCGGCCAACGGGGGTGGTAGTATATATTCTGCTTTTTGCGTGTTTTGGCGGCTTTTCTCCTCCTCATCAAATCATCAAGGTATCGACTGCGTCGCTTTTCGGATGAATGGAATGAAATCATGGTCTGGTATACGATAGTATAGTATAGCAAAGAGGATTTTCCAGATCATGGTGAATGTGAATGACGTATTTACGAGCTCAATGAGGAAACTGAAAGTCAATTGTCAGCATCGGTACGAATGCCAGTAGCCAGCATACAGTACGGGATTACCACTAAGCTTAATTGAGTCTAGCGCAGTACTGTACATACAGCGGCTGGAAAACTCAGGCAACATCTGAACCTTTTTTTCTCGAAACCAACCAGAAAAGAGACTCACTACGTCCGTACCCTGCATAGGACCGGCCCCATGTTCATGCTCCTTTCTACAGGGCGTTCAGGCAGAAAAGACAAACATGGAGAAACCGACCACCACCCATTTTACTCGACGAGGAGCTTTGAGGGAGAAAAAAGCAAAGACAAGACAGGACAAGGGATTGTTTCCCCCATCCCCCCATCAGTAAATCTCCTATTGGATCTACCCCTTGAAGGGAAGAGTTCTTGGGATATTGCTTCGTTGAATTCTAAACATAAACCTGCAACCATCACCCCTTCCTCCCCCTTCCTTCCTTCCTAATGTAAGAAGTTAGGGCAACGGCAGGTACGGCTGCCGGTTTTATCGAGTATCTTCTTCCTTGGTTTCTGAGTTCTGAGAGTATTTACGTGAATACGTGACATTCGCGTTATTACCGCGGAGGTCGGATGAGTGTGAGTAAGGTTGACAGTGGGGTAATTTTCAAAACGAGCGGAGGCGCAAGAAAAAAAAAAGAAAAGAAAAAAAAGGAAAAAGAAAGAGGCACTTAGCTAGTTCTAGCGCACCATCCACTCCACCTAGCCTTTTCTGTCCTAGCGCGAACCGATAACTGCATCTACCTGGTAGGTACAGTACCTATGAAGTAGTGGTGCTGTGCCTGTGCATTCCTATCCCAGAGGGGTAAGGCAGCGACAAGCAAGAGACAACAAGTGCAAGTAATTAGGACGCATTAGGAACCTCACCGGCAGGCCGGGGTCTTGGCCCCACGCTAGTCAAGAGCAAGAGGCGAAGGTGACGGAAGAACTGAGTCGAGAAGGACTCAATGCATGGCATTCATGCCAAGGTGCTAGTCGCTGGTGACCTATTGAGGCCAGAAGAAGGGGATGTCTAAGGCTGCGCGATAAGTGTCTTAGACCATGAGTTAGATCATACTGTAGTTACTCTTGTTAAAGGGCTCAGCCAGTCTAGACTGCGCTACAAGTCGGCCGGGGAAGAATGAATGTGCAGTAGCTGAAAAGTGTGGAAGTCGCTTGCTTCGCACACTCCTCTTTGCTTCCTGAGAATCGGAATTACGTGCTAGCCAAAGGCTGAGATGTGCTTGGCAATGGTGCCTGATGTGTATGGTTGGCAGACAACGAACATGAGAACAGATCCTCAAGGTTGAGAATAGGTCTATTGCATGGGCCACTGGAAGTGACTTACCTGCAATTTTCGAGCAGAGAACTCACTTCTATACATAGTACCTTGCATATATATCATGCTAGAATTGTGCTTAGACTTTCTCAAGTATGATGATTTTGAAACCATAGCATGAAGGGGAATGGTTTGTGTTACCTGCGAAGCAATTCAGCTGATTTTACACCAACTTGTGGTCAGGGGGATAAACACTTGCCTGACATTGTTGCATGATCAAAGAAGAACTGGGGAAACCAGTGAAGTGGCGAACTGGACTGATCAGTCTGGCAGAGGAGCCAGGCGCTGAAATCAATACAGACTACAGCAGGGATCAGTGACCCTGAAATCGTGGTTTTCAGTATGGGGCCAGCTAAAATGTACCAAGATCGAACATTTAGCAAGAGTGGGGGCATGCTAGGTGTTCGCGAACATGCTAGTAGGGCTGGTTGGTTGGGTTTTTCCGACAGCTGCCACCTTGGGAAAATTCATGCAGAGCGGAAACTGGTGGATAATAGAATGCTGCTGGCGTCTATTCCAAAGAAAGGATTGCCAAGCCAGTCGGAGAGCTCAATGTAGTATCCCGCATTGGGAGACTCACCATCCTGCCAGCAGATGGGTTGATTTGTTCCACAGACTCCTGCTGAGGTGATGAATTGGTGAGGACAAGCTGGTGGATTCGCGCAGGATGAAGGGGAGAGGGTCAGTCAATTTGCGGAGGAAAGAAGTGATACAGGTGCGTTGAACTCGTCTCCATCCATGGGAATGTGCAGGATGTACCCTGCAGGGTGGCTGGATGTACGCCGTAGGCTTCCGAGCCGGTTGGAGGATACAAGCGCAAAAATGTCCGGTCGGCAGCCTGGACGTGGTTCCTAGTCAGACATACATGTAGAGCCTGTACCATCGACGTCTATTTACTGGGTATGAGGTACAGTCCCAAATGACGCTGTGTTGTAGGGATGAAGGCGCAATTTTATTTATAGTGCCGTGGTTGCTGAGGTCGGGTGTCATCGAGCATATTCTCCGCGTCTTCCTCACATCCCGAACCCGACGATCACTGACCATCATGTGTCGGAAATAAACAGCATTTTGAGCTTAACTGAAGAGAAACGGCAACCAACAAGACTGTATGGACCGCCTTGTTCCGTGGACCCAACTTAAGGAGGTCCGCGACAACAAGTAGAGCGTGAGCGAGTCTCGTGATTCTCATTTATGTCACCCTCGGAGTAATTTTCTGAAAATCTTTGTCTCTCCTCAAGAAACGGGTGCCTGGGGGTACGTTACACCAGCTCGTCTCGTCTTAATCTTATTCCGTGACAAGGGAGATTGACGCTGACCTTTGCAGGTACTGGTGACTCGATGGGACTTTTCCTCATTCCAAGAGGGCTGCACTGGGTCGAGGAAGGTTGAAACTCGCCCCGGCTGTCAGCTTGCCGATTATTGTAAGCTAGGCTAGCTCCACCGCCGATCGCACGGAATTCGGAGAAGTGAGACTTAAATCTGAATCGGAACAGCCCCAGCAAAGCTGCGAGGGAGTGATTCCGTTGAGGAGAGCCGATCGGTGGTGAGATCTCGAGATGTGGTATCAGCGGTGTCGGCGAGAATCTCGCGAGGAATGCCCGAGTGACCGAGACAAAGGGATACAGACTCAGCTTCTAGCTCGACTTTTTCTAGTCGGTGTGACCACCCGGTACCAGAATCTGTCTAAAGTGGATGGACTAGTGAGCGGAACGCTCCTCTCCGAGACTGGAGTGTGTCAAATAGAGGGTAGTGTATGTTGAAGGAAGAAGAAAAGTGATATGATAGAGATTAGTATGGAGGCGTTCAGTTGGTTGGTGTAGTGATAAAGCAGGTTTGTTGCTGTATGGACTCGAGCCTGGAGGTTCCGTATACCTGCCTGATGGGGTAAGTTACACCTGAGACGGTCGGTACCTGAGGCATTCCGCACCCCGCAAGGAATCAAGGAAGGAACTCGGGTTAAATTGCCTTCTATAGTACGGTTAATTAAGCATAATTCAATGGCTTCAGGTTCCATCGTTTACTACAATCCCGCGACAAAGAATGAAGCTGAATACTCAACCTGCTACAATGGCAGTCTCATCAAAGGAATAGAAAGACAAGCTGTCAGTGTCAGTGTCAGTGTCAGTGTCAATTTCAATAGTGTCAGGAGTGTCAGTCAGTAAGCGCGAGAGACTACACAGAATCCAGACCAGACTAAGCGATTCTGCAGCCTTCCGTCTTTTGCTCCCCTTCACAGCCAGGCCCGTGACTAACTCAACTGATGTACGTACAGGAAAAGTTTCAAACACTCGGTCCAACACCGCTAATTCGAATTGAACGGCCAAGACACAAACTCCAAAATCGCACCGAGAAATTCCAAACCTGGCCTTCGCTTCGAGCTAAGGAGTTCCTTTTTCCGCTGTTCCTTCGGACTCTTCGAATCCAAAATTCCTTCCCCCATCTGTTCGAACCTAAGAGGCGCGCGAAGCACCAAGTGGGCATCATCTCCGATGCGAACCACCCACTACCGCACGGGCGACTGGAGACCGAAGCGTAGTTAGTGGCGTCAAAAAAACATGGACAGAGGAAGCTGTGCCTGAGGGTCTGGCCACGATCCACTCTTCTCCCAGGGGCCATCCAGGCACGCCGGACGATCATCTTCCCGATCGGGTCAAACCAGGAGGTGTTTTTCCCTCGGCACTTCCTCTCGCTGTGGATCAAAGTCCCAGAAGTTGGATTTTTTGGTTCAGGAACAAGGCACACCAAACTTAATCGAGTAAATACGTTGTGGATTCAGGAACAGCCGTCGATTCAGATGAGTGGGAAAACAACATTGTTTGCTTTTCTCAGAGAAAGGGGAGTGGGGTTGTGAGTTGGTGTGCCCTCAGGGAATGGACAGAGGCTCGGAGAGAGAGAGGAGAGAAGGATGATGATGATGATGATGATGATGATGATGATGATGATGATGATGATGATTAGTGCCGCTAACCAGCGAAGGGCCGGATAAATTCTCAGCTGAGCCAGGATCCTAAACTCTATCATATCTTGAGTCAGATCAATGGCCCATCACCTCCTTTCCCAGTGAGGTCATCCAGTGATATGCATGCACTGTGTCTACAGTCCAGGATTGCCACGCCACCGATCTCAACATTCGCTAGCACGCCTCGGCTAGTCGATTTACTTCTCGATGATTCACGGAAGCCGTTTTCGATCGAGTCAGATTCTGAGCGTCTTGAACCATGGTTCACACTCTGATCGCTTGTATCAGATGTCCTCCTCTACTGCTATGTATAGGACCCAAATCCAAGATCTGGGGAGGGGGGACCCTCCCTCAGGTCCAGATAGAAGAAAATTACCTCGAGACTGAAAATTACCCGCTGAAAGAATGGGCGGTAAGAATACATCTAGCGAAGCCGGCTAAAACACAAGTAGGAACAGACCAACCAATTCTCCACGAGGCTAACCGCAACCGAACCGCGGCCTGAACCGAGCGAGCGAGAGACGAGACAAAAAGAGCGTATTCGGAGCGAGCCCGTTCTGGGTCTAAGCTCTCTCATCGCTGATTCGTCCACTGTCTTCCCTTTGCGACTAAAAGTCACAACTCACGGAGCTAAATCGCGTTAGAGACTCTGAAGGAACAGTGAGCACCTCGTACCCGCAAGTCAGATGCAAAA